CATTTGCATTCCCATTTATATTCGCATCCGTATTCAAATCTATATTCACATCTACATTCCATCAACTTCTTTTTTCCTTTCCCATGTTTTATACTTTTAACACAACTCTTTCCATGTTGCACCTCTTCATCATCATTATCACTCAACCAAATACATTCAAAATCAATATCTTCTTCACCTCCTATCGATCCTCTTCAATATCATCTTCATATTTATTAGTATATTTCCGCCTCTTTATTGTCCCTTTGCTTGTTCATGTTCCTCCTTATCATAATTTTGCTTCTCTACTATCCCTTTCTATGTTTGCTCATGTTCCTTCTTACCGTAATTCTACTTCTCTATTGTCCCTCCCTTTGCCATCTCATTATTCTTCTTGAATACTCTTTCAATAATTTCAACTTCATTTTTTCTAACACCATCATTTTCAGCCACACAATGACTTGAACTACCATTAGTAGAAATCGTATCGTAATCAAATCTACCATTCACATAAATACCAAGCTTATCACATACAATCTTCGAATTCTCCACGTTAAAATAAGGATGTTCTTTGTCACCATGTCCATAATGCCCATCAACGCATTCAGTTTTCATTAAAAAAGTCAATCATAGGATATACACTCTTGTCATGATATATCAACCTTAGGCATTTTGTTAAATTTTTATCCTGTTTTATATCTTTATAATACACACTCGTAATATTCGTATAACCATGTGTATTGACAAGCTCTAGTGAACCAAAAAAAAAAAAAATCATCCTCATCGGTGTTAACATCAACCACAATACCCTTGTATACGTCATAGATAAAGCTACATCTTCAAAAATTCTATGTAGTTTTCCTCTAATATGAACCCTTAGCTTACCCATCTAGAGGGACAATAATAGATAAAAAAACATCAATAAATTTAATTAAATGAAGAAAATTCACAACATGGATGGACCACTCGCAATATAGTGTTTTAAATACAAAAAAGAAACTTAAGAATTAACCTATTGAAAAATTACCGTACCTTATCTCCACTCGAGGTCCGTAACTTAGTGTTGTTAGATTTATTTTAACTTTATAAAGCGAATGAAAGATAAAAGGACTAACAAATAAAGGGTGAGCGAGAAGAATATAGGATGAAGAATTAGAGGGAAGATAAAATGGGTTATAACGGAGCTTCCCTTACAAATTGATGAAGAAGAAGAAGAATTGATGGGTTCCTCGACAAAAAAATGAAAATGAAGAACCGAGGGTTGTGTTTTGACTTTTGATTGTTAATTGAAGGCAAAAAGAGAAAGAAATTTAGCATTAGGTTAGAATTGGGATGAAACGTTTGGGATATAAGGGTTTTTTTTTTAAAGTGGGGACAATTTAGGGTTTTTCTTTTTCTATTTCATTTATTTCCTTACTAGTATTAGAAATTGAGAGGGAAAAGAAAATTAATACTATATGTCAACATCCTCGTTATCGTTAAGCTAGAAATTGTCTTTGTTGCTTGAAAAGTGATTTGAGAGATCAAATGCGGATACAAATTAAGAGTAGAAGGACACGATTATTGAAAAATTTAGTTAAGGGACATGATTAAGACATTTAAAATAATAGATGAACATCATGGACCTTTAACCCAAGATAGTTATAGAGTTTTCCTTATATTTGGATTCTATACTCTTAGAATTTTTTTAATTGATACGTTTTATTCTTTTTTGGTTTGATTGAAACCCTTTATTCTTCAAGCTTTCTTATTTCATACTCTCTATTATAATGCAATTAATCAATGATTGACATGCCATCTATATTCCTCGAGATAAGAAATCTCGAAAAATAGATGAACTCAATTAAGCTATATTTCTTAATAAAAAAAAATGTAAAAGTACATCGTGAAGAAAACTAATAGAAAGCCACTTGTCATTCTAAGGAGAGAAATCCATCATTTTCATTGTATATTATGGATATAAATATATATAATTCTCAAAATAATTTTTTTTCATGAAATTAGTTTCTCTTAATTTTCAATGTCACCCCCGTACTCTTATAAGTAAAAACGAAAGACTTGTTATTCCACCAGCTTTAGTCACGCGTTCAACTCCTTGTAGCCAACATACCCAACCAAAGATTTTTAATTTCTCCTTAATTCATAATTTCTTCTTAATTCATTCTATCTTGAATTCTTGATCATAAAGAGGCATGATTGGTAGCAAATTATAAACCATTGATTTTCCTCTTATTTCCTTAATTGTTTATGCATTTACAGAGATTAGTTTCCAACACTCGTGGCTAATAAGATAAGGAAAGCATGACAAGGACTGAATACCAGAAAAACTGAATATGGCAATTTAAATGAATCTATGAATCTTGCAAAAGTTTTCAATGCCCAATTCTACTTATTCTTATCTTGTATGATTGATGACATGTTTGATTCATTTCATATTTGAAATGGTCAGTGGTTAAATTGACATTTCCTTTAAGTAAAAAATATTTTAAAGAGTAATCATGATTTTTTTTTGCCACCCATGATATGAAGACAACTTCCATTTTAGACTATTTTCAATTCAAGTAAAAGTATGGTACGAGACAAGTGTTTAATGTGTGTATTTAGCTTTTTTTTTCTCCAACTTTAAGAGGCTGACATAGCAGCTAAAGGTTTTTTTTTTTTTTTTTTCCTGAGATTACATTTAAAAAAAAATTATTAAATTATTTTGAATAAATCAAATCGATATGAAAATGCGTTATTAAGATTTCTCAAAAACAGAATTAATCTAAAAAAATTATTATATTAAACATAGTCGGTTGTAACTAGTAACTAGAAAATAAATTTAATAAATAGTTAAATTACTTGTCCCAAACGGGTTTTGCTCATGCATGCCATGACATGAGGATGACATAAACTACAGGGACTCATTTGTCTTTTCGTGCATACGCGCATTCAAGATTAGGTTACACGGCAAGAGTGGATAGTCATTATGAAATTGAATGAGCTGGAGGGTGAAGGCAAAGAAGTTTTGGGGTTGGCTCCCAAAATGGGAAGTTGGAGATGGAAAAACAGGGAATCAGTCAATACCATTGTCCACTGCCATGAAAAAGCACAAAATGCTTTGACCTTTCCGTGTTTCTGTTTCGGAAAGTGTAATCCATTTACTCACCCACTTGTTTCAATTATGTTGGTCCAACATCACCAAATTCACAACCCCATCATCATCATTATAGCAACTTCTGCACCATATTTCCATTGTCTCATTTCGTATCACTTTACCACCATAATACAACCTACTATTTCTTTTACCCAGTCACACTGCTTTTCTGATAACTTTTTTAGTTCACCGATATTCTGTAATCTAATCACCATTTCTTATTATTATAAGAAAATTCGGTCAAATATTTCATGGATGGATTCAACTAATTTCATGATTTATGGCTATGTTCCATCATTAATGCATCATTAAAGGAAAGTCAACAATTCTAACAAAGCAAGCACGCCAAATTAAATGGCGAGGATTGAGTTATGAAATTGGAGTCACATATATATTGCGGGTGTATTTGGACCATACACAACATAAGATTTAAGAATGACAACTTAGTCAGACAAGTTGGTATCAACATGCAGAAAAAGAAACACACTTAAACCCAAAAAGACAAAGTAAAGGAAACTCCACTAGAGGTTCAATGAAAGAAAAGTCTGTTTTCTGGTGAAGAAAGCCTTTTAAAGAAGCTTCTGTCTCAAAGAAAAATATTTTTGGTTAGTTTCTCACTACTTTTCTCATAACTTTCATAAAACTCTTTAAATAAGATATTAATTGTTGGTCTTTGGAATTTTCACTTGTTCAGATTCTTGGATTTTGGGTAGCTTAAACCTTCTCTGTTAAGCAGTAGTTTTATCTGGGTCTTGATTGTTTATTTTGAACACTTGGCTTGGATTTTCTTCAAGTTTGTTTCTTTTTTTTTTTTTTTTTGTCTACTTTCAATATTTTGGTTTGTTAAATGGTTTGTTGCACCCCAACCTACCTAACATCACAATCAAAAGTCGGGTTTTTCTATTTGTGAAGATACCATTAAGAGGCATATTTACCCTTTTGCCTTCAAAGACACTGGTGTTCATAGTCAAAGCCTTGTATTTCTTTCTTTCCTTCAAAGCCAATCTTGAGGTTTATGTCTATCTGGTTATCGGCTAAATACTGGCTGCTGCTATGACCTTTGCTACTTCCTCTTGAGTTCTTTCTCCTATTTCAGGTACATGCCTTGTCTGTAAAAACATAAGAATTCAGGATTGACTACTTATATGACCGCTACTGCTGATTGTTTTCTGTTTTACTTACTTCTGATTCTTTTTTATATCATCTGTAGTTGATTGTCTATCCTTTCTTGGATTTTCAACGGATCTCATTTTTTCTGAAGAATTTTTTTTTTTTTTTTTTTGCTACCTAAAAAATATAGATTCTTGCATCCCCTGCAGTACTGCTTATCACTGAATCCTTGTCTGTAGTACATAAGAAGAACCAAGATTTAATTCTATGTTAGTATCCTTTTTCTGATTGAACATAGCAGTCTTCTCCTTGTCACAAAGGCTAGATCTTTAATCTCAATTATATCTTACTTTTGAAGGAATTTGAAGTCGACCAATTAAAGCAATCTTAGAATTAAGTCTATTGTCAGAAAATTAAGCTCTCCAATTTAAAAGGACATGCAGACAACTATATTCAAATTCCACATCCCCACCACCCCCACAGACCCCCCAAAGGCTTATATTGTTTTGGTTGCTGTTCCACCAGCTGTTTTCCTTGATACTGCTTGTTTGCTGAATGCAGACACCCTATAAATTTCATCTGGATTTCAATTCTAAGGGGCTACTCCAGGTGATTATTTTACATTTCTTTTGAAGAGAGTGGTAGTGTTTGGTAGTTCTCATGTTTGACAAATATTAACAATTTGTTTCCTGCCAATTCGATGACAGTGACTCAGACCTTAGGATATATGATACAGCCATCGCTCTTCAAAACTGTGTTAATTTAGGGAAAAATCATGTCTCTAGTTGGACCTGCAGAACTCTCTGCCACATCTTACGGAAATCATAAGCTGTACTCACTCAAGGGGAGCAATGAAAACTCTGGTTTGTCTGCCCAAATATTTGGCCCTGGTAAACGTCAGAACATGTATATGACCGATTCTTACTCTTGTGAGAGTTATGAGAAGTACTTCCTTGATTCTCCAACTGAAGAACTAATACAACCATCAAGTTCTGGCATTTCAGGGAATTCAGCTCATCCACAAGGCGCATCCTCCTGCCAGCCAAGAAAGAGTTCAGGTTCATCCATGTCCCCTCAAGATCCCTACAATGCTTCTTTCACTTTGACGACACCCTGCGATGGCTATCAATTCAACTCCGAGCCTGATTACTTGGACATTGAGAGCCCTGATCCACTAGACTACGATGAATATAAGATGAAGTTAAAGCTTCAGGAAATTGAGAGAGCACTTCTAGATGATACTGAAGAGGATGACGAGGATGGCATGTTTGGAAATAGTCACAGCATGGAAATGGATGGAGAGTGCTCTGACCCAATCCAGAATGGGATGCTCCATGATTCTCCCAAGGAGTCATCATCTTCAGATTCTAACCTAAGTAGCATCAGCAGTAATAAAGAAGTGTCACAGTTACCTCCTCAGACTCCCAGGCTATTGCTTTTTGAATGTGCTAATGCAATCTCGGAAGAGAACATAGAGAAAGCATCGGCTTTAATAAACGAGCTCCGTCAATTAGTCTCGATTCAAGGAGATCCTCCACAGAGGATTGCAGCCTACATGGTGGAAGGTCTTGCAGCTCGTATGGCTCAATCTGGAAAATATCTCTATAAAGCCCTGAAATGCAAGGAGCCTCCTTCTTCTGACAGGCTTGCAGCTATGCAGATCCTTTTTGAGATTTGCCCTTGTTTTAAATTTGGATTTATGGCAGCAAATGGTGCAATGATCGAAGCATTTAAAGGTGAAAGGAGAGTTCATATAATAGATTTTGACATAAACCAAGGGAGTCAATACATAACACTGATACAAACACTTGCCAACCAGCCCGGCAAGCTGCCACGCTTGAGGTTAACGGGGATCGATGACCCCGATTCAGTTCAACGCCCTGTTGGTGGCCTTAAGATCATTGGGCAAAGGCTTGAAAAGCTAGCAGAAGCACTTAGGGTCCCATTTGAGTTTCATGCGGTGCCCTCCAGGACTTCAGTTATCAGTCCATCAATGCTGAACTGCAAGCCTGGGGAAGCACTTGTAGTGAATTTTGCTTTCCAACTCCACCACATGCCTGATGAGAGTGTTTCAACAGTAAACGAGCGAGACCAGCTTCTTCGGATGGCTAAGAGCTTGAATCCAAAACTAGTAACTGTTGTTGAGCAAGATGTGAATACCAATACCGCCCCCTTTTTCCCGAGATTTACTGAAGCTTACAACTATTACTCTGCTGTGTTTGACTCCCTCGATGCAACTCTCCCACGAGAGAGCCAGGACAGACTGAATGTTGAGAAACAATGCCTGGCACGGGACATAGTAAACATAGTAGCATGTGAGGGAGAGGAAAGGATTGAGCGGTATGAAGTTGCAGGGAAATGGAGAGCAAGGATGATGATGGCAGGCTTCACTTCGTGTTCAATCAGTCCTGGCGTTGTTGATATGATTAAGAAACTCATAAAGCAGTATTGCGATAGATACATGTTGAAGGAGGAAGTGGGTGCACTTCATTTTGGGTGGGAAGACAAAAGTTTGATTGTTGCTTCAGCATGGAAGTAACAGCTACTATTTGCTTATTGACACAGCTGTGGCACTCGAGCATAAATAGAATGTTGTTTAGGTTGCCTGTGCTAATATTTTTGTGTGATAAAACTGCATGCTCATATGTGTTCTTATTAGCCACAATGACTTTCTGATGTTGTGCAAAGTTCTGTACTAGAAGTGATGTATTAGGATTGCTAATTATCTAACACTATGTTTCTCTTTTACTCCATGCTTTGCTTATACATTTTAATGTTTGCTGTATCACGTAGCAAATCTCCCAGGTATCCTTCTCACGTTCAGATTTCCACTTCCCCAAATCTTCTCTTTCTAGCAAAATCTGGCAGTCTACGCCCACCCTTTGCCACCACTGGGATAGAAAGTGGGAGGTGAAATTATACCGGTTTAAAGAAAAGTGTGATTGGGAAACTTTTTTTAAAAAAAAAAAAAACAGGAGAGAGTTTTGAGCTTGATATTTTTGGAGGGGACGGAGGAACACGCCAGTTGAGCTTCAGCTCATTGGCTATCCAATTTGCATTAGGTTTAGCAAGCAAGCAAAAGTATCCTTGGCTCTACACCTTGCACAGTTATAACACATACCTTGTGGATCAATTCCTTCAAAGTTTAGAAATTGCTGTTTGTGAGAGCAGTTTTTTTACTGGAATTTGAGTTACGTCTTTGAATAACCAGGCTTTGAACAAACTATTACCTTGGTGGAATATCAGTCTTAAATTATTCCTTATTCCCCTGCCAGCATACGTCCACAATGGAAAGGTCCTGTCTTTCTGAGAGATCCTTGAAAGGATACTAGACATATAACCATCACCAGCCTGGTTCACTTCTCATCTCAATCTGCCAGAATCATTGGTTTTCCCTTCTTCTTGTCATGGTTTTAAAACGGGGTAATCCGTTACTGTTTTTCGGCATTATAAAAGCCTCAACGTTGTTTCACGTCTATAACAGCAGATAACGACGTTATCGTTATGTAACATCGTTATTAGCTGTTATATAACGATATTATATATAAAAAATTTACATTGTTGAAAAAATAGCCTGAAATGCAATTGAAATTTTTTTTATCTTCTTTTGTTTTCTTTCTTCAGTAATTACAAATGAAAAGGAAGGATTTTTTTTTTATCTTCTATTGCTTTATTTCTCTCATAATTATTAATGAAAGGAGGGACATTTTTTTTCCCTTTTTTTGCTTTCTTTCTCCTGCAATTACTAAAATTATAATATATTTTATTATTTTTTATGTAATATTAATCTATTAAAATCGTTATTAATTGCTTTTTATAATAAATTTAACTATTGTTATATGTTATTAAACTATTAGAGATATGATAACTTATTATTATGTTTAATTAATAAAAATGTCAAAAATATATGAATAACAATAAATTTATTGCCAGTTACTAATATATTTATACAATTAATTATCGCAATCGTTATTTTACAAAAGCGATAAGTTGCGAATTGCGATCACGATCACGAACATTTTTTTAACAGCGATCGCTATTTAAAACTATGCTCCTTGTTCTTTTATCTTGGATTAAGGAAAGGACGTAAGGTTCAATGGGTAAGAGACATTTTTTTAAACCGAAGCCCCTCGAAATCTTCCTTGCGCTTTGATAACTAGAAATGCATCTCTTTAAATTCTCCAAGCTTGATTATTCAAGTAATAAATCAATAATTCAGAACTCTCATAAGTAACGCAGCTGTTTAAGCCAGATTAATGGATGCCAGATGATGAGAAAAAGGAAAGCAACAGACCAGATGCCAATTGCACAAAAAAAATAATTTTTTCTACTGAATTAGATTTCTATATTAATTTAAACAAATTCATTGCTATTCAGTGAATGATGATGACAATTACATTAAAAAGAAAATCTGCTCGCCAACTGCTTTTACACCAAAATTGTGAATAATCAATACGAAAGTAAACACCACCAGATTACAGGGTCAAAAAACAAAGATTGTTACCTATCTGGGATATCCTCAGTTCTTCACACCCACAAAACACAACGCTACTTCAGCTTGTGCCTGGAGCTCTTCCAAGACCTTTACAATCTTCTCACGAGATATTACAGTTTCTTTTTGCTCTGCGAGCATTTTCCTTACTCTTCATCCATGGAAATCAAGAGGAGAAAGAATAGTAAAGATAATGCAACTAATTGAAAATTCAAGATATGAAGTTACTGCTTCGTCATGTGCCTATCCAGATTTATGTGGTTCAATTAGATGTCATGTTGTGAAAGAATTTGTAGCATTGTGTACAAACCATAGATGTTCAGAAATAGGCTGTGTTAAAGCTACGCTTCAAACAAACCATTGAATAATCAAATTAGCTTAGTTGATTGAAGCCTTGGAACAGTTTTTTTTCCCCCGATAAAAGTATTAGGGCAGGCATTGCAAGTGAGAAATTCAAGTAAATACAAGAGAGAGACATAGTGAGCTAAGTGAAGGATATTAGAGCAGCCCATAAATTCAAGTCGCTATTCTAAACATGCAAATGAAACATTAAGAAAAAGAATCCCATTACACGGGCAATGATAGGTATCTATCTTCATATCTATGCAAGGCAGAGATTAAAGCAAGAGGCGGGTGCATCACCATACTTTTTACATGTCCAAGCATATACTATTACAGGGATCATTAAAACAAAAAAAGGTTGAACGTTGTCCAATGTGTTTCCTCAGCAATAACCTATCGGCATGCCCACTCACTCACATATACTCATAGAACATGTTTGGGAGTTTATGATCATTCTTAAAGAGTCCAATAATTGTCATATTCCAACAGGACCAGATCATGGTACAGATTTTTCCTTCAATAAAAAGAGAGCAGAAGGGTGCTCATCCTAATTACTCTTGACCATTTTTTGGGTGGTGAGGAGGCAGCATAAATGGAAGCATTTCCTGGAGAGGAATTACATATCCATGTTATCTTTCATAGGAAACAATATTTTCTCAATGCTCCGTGCTATTGATTTTGTAAACATATTATAAATGAATGTCAGTTTTCTATATGGGCGCACCACCTTCATGCCCTTGTATATAGTTTTTTACTTGCAAAAACTAAGTACTTTAATGGTCTGTCTTTCAAAAATATGAGGATTAAATTATTATCAGATGCATTATTATAGCTTGGTTACTTTTCAGTTTTCTTTATTCAATATTTAAAGCAAGTTAAGTGATTTCTGAAAGCAAAGAAAGAAACATGGCATAGTAAATGAAACAACATGTTCTATAACGCGTTAAAAATATACATACCTATGCACTATTGCTGTATCTCCATGGCCAGTGCAAATTATGAGCATGGTATTACTTGGTAGTGTGGAGTAGAGGCAACGCACCCTAGCATCCATCCGAGTAAGAATTTCCTTTAATTCGGATGTCATACTGCATTTCATCCCTTTTCTGTTGGCCGACTTCTTTTCACATGTAAGTAACGAGATCATCTCTGCAAGCTTTCCATTTAACTTCTCTTCATCCTCTGCTTGTTTCTTGAAATAGGAATTCAACTCTGAAAATTGAGTCCAGACAAAGTGTACTCGATCATTCTTAACCTACAAACACCACTATTCAAATAAGAATACAATCACTAATCAAAGAATAAACAAAAATATCCACAGCCAATTCCAAATATACCTCCTTTCTTGCCTTCAAAAGTGCTTCCTCATCAGACGACACAGGAAATGAATGGGATGAACCAGAAGCATACTGCTTTACTATGGAAATATCATCAATGAATGAGGAGGTTTTACCACACTCACTCAAAACTGTAAGGAGCTTTCGCCGCACAAATGATGGGGGAGACCCAAAATCAGGTCCTAACAGAAGAGCCAGGAGCATAGAATATATATAAGCATCTATAAATGCATTCACATAACACAGGAATGCAGTGAACAACAAAAGCAAACGCTAGTAAAAAATTCACTTGCCATTTCTTATCTTTAATAGTGCCAGTTCCATAGTAGCTCTTGCATCTTCAATGCTATCATGACCAACTCCTGACTGCTGAATCTCCTGAGAAAGAAATCTCTTTGCAAGAACTCGAAGAGCAGTTTTATAAGATCCACCTCGGGGATGTTTGTATAATAGTGCAGTATCAATCACCAATTCATGAGAGATCTTTAGAGCTAACAAATCATTCTCCAGGGAATGCCCAACCAGGATGGTCTCTTTGCAAACCAGCTTTAGAAAGTCTTCCTGAATACAGGAAGCAACTGTAAAGAAATGAGAAAATAATATCCTAACAAAGAAATGGATCAGTAAATCAACATTACACCACCAGTGTAAACTGCATCAAAATAAAAAATAAAAATAAATAAAAAAACTTGATTGGAGCAACAAACCTGAACGTCTTTAAGACTTGTGGTTACCCCATTCAACATCTCATATGTAATCCCACTAAACCTGAAAAACGAATGAAGTGTTAGTAAATTAAAAATATTAGTCATCTTTTTTGAGAGATATAGAGAGACAGAGGAGTTCCAGAGGCACTCTCCCTAATCCAGGTTGGGGAGAAAGATCTCCTTACGAAGGATTTGCCACACAGGGATTTCTTCTTTTTTTTCTTTTTTTTTTCTTTTGAAAAACATTCTCTTAGACAGAATTTCCAACTAAAGAAACAAGGGGATGGGGAAGCAGAATATTTACAACATAGAATCTGTTGAGCAAAGGAAAGAAAGCACGAACTGCTAAAATACAGAATCTAGAAAATGAAGTTGATCAACATCTTTATAATCATGCTGACTAACTTATCATTTAGGTTTTGCTTCTAGCTTTTTTAGAGTCAGTCAGAGGTTCAGACCGTAGGAGGACACATATCCCCTCTAACACCCCAAGAAAAACCTCTACACCACTAATCACTGTCATAAAGAAAAATAAAAGTGTATTTCAAAAAACGAAAAGGTCAAGGTACCATCAGCAGGTTTAAAAAACTATTAGTAAAAAAATACCTGGTATTGTAATCAACGATATCATTTGAGGGTTTAACCAATTTATCCAACACCACCTGCAAAAGGTCAATCAAGGTTAAAAAATCCATACAACTAATTACTAAATTCATGAGCCCAGCAGCAAATTAGAAAGTTATAAGAGATACAATAAAGATTCAATGTACCTAGGTATGACCAAAAGAGGGTATTTCCTTCTCTATTTCCTTTTATGAATAGAAAGGGCATCCTATTTCATTTGAAGGGGAAAAAAAGAAGAAGAAGAAGGATTTTTGCATGATTTCAGAGCCCATGAATTTCAACAGTTTTTTTTTTAAACCATTTCACTTTCCAATTGCGATAAGAAACTGACCCACTGCCTCTAGCCAACTCAAGCTGGCACAAAGCTTGAGTGCCTGTATGTTGGTCTATGACAACTACCATAATGATAAAATTACACCAGATGCAAGAGGTCATGAAAAGTACAGTACAGATTATACATATCTGATGTAATAGTTAGAATAGAGTTGTCTGATATAAAAATTAAATACTTGATCTGTAAATGTCAAGCAAATATGACCTTAAGAAGTTTAATTTATATTAAGTAACCCAAGCACAATGGTATACGCACAATTGGCAAAAGATCACCTTTCAGTACAAGTTCTACTGCAGATACCACTACCAATAAAATTGCCTTTCTAAGACAGCAAACAAATAAAAAAATGGAGAGCATACCTGTCCTTTAATATCCACCAGGGTCACTCTTGTTAGCTCAAAACCCTCATTTGTGATACACTATAAGAAGCAAACAAAAGAACACAAAAGAGACCAGATCAATAAGAGTGCATCACAAACTAATGCTAAACCCTGCGCCATTATGATCCAAATGGTTCAAACAAAGCGCTGAAGACACTTCCATCTCTTGAATTGACACAGATTCCTTCCTGTCGCCATTCTATTAATAAATAAATCATTCTTAGCTGCTGCTTAAGTAGACATGCATATGAATTTAAGGAAACAACTTTGAACAAACAGACAACATTCTTTCTAAATTTGAATTGAGATGCTGCATTGCCAAAGGTAGGGCACTTCCACCCATAAAGATTACTCTGTTTGTATAAGCGAACAAAAAGAGACTGATTAATGCAACTTTGGTAGCATATTTGTCATTTATTTATTTTTCAAAGTTGGACTTCCTTAATATACATATATAGGAACATGACTATTTAACCAAACATTTTATAGACAAAAACCAGACTGAAATTTTCATAATATCCTCTCTCCCACAGGACTCATAATGACTTTGCTTGCCTCTTCCTTTTTCTTTTTGTGAGAAAAATAAAAACCAAAAAGTCGCCTTTGAGTAAATATAAAAGCCAAAAAAAAAAAAGGCAACTGTTGAAACAGTAGCAAAAGTGGCAGCATGAAGATGGTGGTATAGTGTAACTGTTAACACTCCAAAACAATATTCCCAGCTCAAAAAACATCACAGCTGGCCGTAACTTTCCCAAGGAAAAAAAAATAGTTCTTTACAACTCAAATTGACTCTAACAAGCACAACTGTGTTTAAGTAGAAAACTGAAACTAACTTTATAACCAATTTTTTTCCAGCTACAAACTTTTATACCAACTTAAACTCATTAAAGAATCACAATTCTTGTTCTTCTGCTTGAAAACATAATGTAAGCTTTAAGTCATGACAGACATCTTACCATTTCACAATCAAGTGCCAGTATATCATAGGGAGCAGAACCTGAAGGTGCAGAAACTGTAGAAACAAAACCTACACAATGAAATCAGGAAAAGAGTTATGAAATTACTGAATGATTGGAGAAATGAGGAGGAAAAGATCATTAAGGAAAAAAACAAAAACAGAAACAAAACAACAATACAAGTGATCCACGTTACCTGGTTGATTGATACAATATCCATTGTCTTCCAGTTGTTTAGCTGTAAGTGTGTAATATGAGAGTGGGAAAGGTAGATGTTTCATGAGTTCTGCCGATGATATATTCTCCATACTAGAATTGTTTCTTTCTGAATAATGATGACTGTTAGTTACCATGACATACAATGGAAAACAGTAACAGGTATTATAAAGTTTATAATTATAGGAAAATTTCACATTGCATACACCATCTACAAAATCATTGTTCTCATAGAAAATGATGGAGAACTTATAGAAACTTGAACACTCCTTTTTCACATTGGTTAAGAAATATCAATATTCTATCGATAGGGAGGTGGAGTTGGTTTATACATTGAGCTGAATGATGTAGATTCATACAATTGACCCTAACTATTTTGGGATTGAAGCTTTGTTGTTGTTGTAAGAAATATCAATATTCAAAAGCACAAGTAGGCAACCAAGTTATTGAAGCCTGTAGAATGCCTGATCTGATAATGAATAAGAAATTCAACTGACATAGAATAAAGCATTAAATATCAGGTAGAAGGAATTGAGTTAACAGATCAAAAACCTTCCTCAGAAGTCAGGATAGATTTCCTTGAAACTGAATCAACTTCATTTCTCTTTCTTTTCATCTTGCAAGTTAGAAGCGCATCTACTGTCTGAATTCCATCTGATACACAGCTAGCATAAAAGAAATACCAAAAGCCATCAGGTAGACACAGAGCACAATAAAAAGAGAGAGAGAGAGAGAGAGAGAGAGAGAGAGAAAGAACAATCATCACCAACCTTAGAGCTAAAAGTGGCAGTGGGTTCCCACAGCACTCTTTAAAGCCAGCAAGAAACTTAGACTGTGATATGTATAAAGCTGCATCCAGGCCAGGAACATAAAGCATAACAACTTTTGGAATCAAAGGTTTGTTCTGCAAAATGCAAATGTTATTCCATAATACAGAATTCAAAATGTATCAGTAAGGACTCAAGGGAATAGTATAATATCAGGCTCCTCCATGCAATCCCTAGAAACATATCAGAATAAGGCAAAAAAATGGAACTCTACATAGGGTTCAATCCCAAAGATAACATACAGCATGAAAATCTACAGAGTCAGCTGAAGGTTCTGTAAGCAAAAAACAAACTAGAATCTGAGACATACATTATCAGGATTAAGGAGAAGCTGGATTCCACACTTTTCTATGAAGCAGATGATGAAAGCCACCCAACAAGACTAAAACACAAGCAAAGAGCTAAAACTCTATTTTAGTTTCGCCATGAGACTAGAGTTACCAATATACCAATTGAGCTTGGTTTTTTATTTTTATTTTTTAAAATTTCCTTTCTTAAACAAAAAGTTGCAAAAGGAAGGGAATGTTCTTTACCTTAATAAACACCCACGATGGCATGAATCCTTCAGCAAGCACCCAAGTTACAAGTCCTTGAACGTCCTGCAACACAATAAAAACTCGATTCACAAACTTTTCCACTTTTTTTTTTTTCTTTCTTCAAAAATTTAGCGAAATAGACTAAAAACAGGGCCTACTTGCAGATTCAAAGTTGAGTTCGCTTCTGGCATCTTGAAAACAATTTCCGCTCTTGCCTGCAAACGCAACAATAAAATCATGAGCAGGTTTTTAAGCACTGTTTTAGTTAGGGTTTCAAAAGATTACACAACACAAACATTTCACTCGTATTTGATCAGTTACTTAAACGCTGGTTTTACACAGTTTAACTCCACAATAAACAAAACCTCAACTTAATTCTATACAGATTTGGAAATTTCTTTAGCTCGCAGTTCAAAAACTAAGCTTCAAACTTCTCCATTTACCACTCTAGATTATAATTAGCAAAAAATTACTCACAAACAACTAATAATTAGCAGGAATAATAATAATATACAAGCATCCTGATTTTATAGACTTACCTAAACTACAAAAGCCATTTCATGAAAATAAATAAATAATCGAAATTGAATAGAGAGAGTGATAGTACTTCCGGTCCATAGACATCGTAAAACTTGTTCCCCTTGCTACTGCTACCACTACAATCGCTCGATTTTTCCTCCTTAGCTCCGCTTTTACGCTCTGCGGAATCTCCCATTTTTTCCTTCTCTTTTCTGTTCTCTCCCCCTTCAAAACGCCACAGCAATAGCAGAACGTTGAAAGAGAAGTAAGAAATGGCAAACCCTTAAAAAGATGGTTTATAAGAAACCTGGCTGGGCTTGGGCCACCATTTTTATTCGCTTAAATTGGGCAGGCCTAACTGAACCCAATTAAACAGATTATTGGATCCAATGCTTCAAGCCCAAATAAAAGAAAAGGAAGGAGAGCTCCTGGGTTCCTAAAATAGAAAAGAAACAGCATGAAAAAAATTAAATCTAGAAGGTACCAAAGGGAGGAAGCGAGAGAAAGAGAGAAAGAGAGAAGGAGAGATGTCGGTGAAGTTGCAGCAGCCGGTAGGGCAAAAACGGCTGACGAACATAGCAGTGGTTCGATTAAAGAAGCATGGTATGCGTTTCGAGATTGCTTGTTACAAGAACAAGGTCCTCTCTTGGCGCTCTGGCGTGTAAGTCTTCTTCTTCTTCTTCTTTTTATTTTCCTTAAATGTAAATCCATTATTATTTGTAGTATGTTCATTTTTGGAATGAACAGGGTAATAATACCTTCTGTCTATTTTTGAAAAAATAAAATAAAATAAAACAGAGAGAAAGATTTGGATGAAGTGTTGCAGTCCCACACAGTTTATTCAAATGTTTCGAAAGGAGTTCTTGCAAAGTCTTCAGATTTGAATAAAGCTTTTAGACATGATGATCAGACCAAAATTTGCCTCGAGGTAAACAAAAAAGAACATAGCTAACTAGTTTTTGCAACCCTTTTATTAAGTGGCGTTATTGTACGTCTAATTTGTGATTAGAAATGAATTAATTGGTTCTCTCTGGTTGTTATTATATTATTGTTATTATTGCTGTTGTTGTTGTTGTTAGATATTGGAGAAAGGGGAGCTTCAAGTGGCTGGGAAAGAGAGGGAATCGCAGTTGTCTAGTCAGTTTCGGGATATAGCAACTATTGTTATGCAGAAAACTATTAATCCTGAAACGCAACGTCCTTACACTATCAGTATGATTGAGAGATTGATGCATGAAATTCACTTTGCTGTTGACCAGCATAGCAGCTCTAAGAAGCAGGTTATTTGATGGATTTAACTGTAAAAAAATGTGATGTTTGTTGGAAGTGGTATAGCATGTGTAATTTTTTTGCTAATTGTGTAATTTGTTCAGGCGCTAGACGTTATTCGTGAGCTTCAAAAGCATTTTCCAATCAAGCGTTCTCCAATGAGACTTCGGCTTACTGTTAGTGGACAGAATTTTTCTACTCTACTGGAAAAGCTTGATGCCTGGGATGCTAAGGTTGTTTCAAAAGATGAATCGGGAAGTCATCAATCTGTTGTAAGTTTCGCTCACTCCTTTATAGTGCGAAGTTTTCATCTCTACATTATCTCTCTGCGGGTTAAGTTTTCCTTTTCTCCATAGCAACTTTTATAGCATGTTGGCTACAAATGGTTTAGCTGCTTTGTTTCTTGCATTCATCTTCATAAAAGTACTTGTGTCATGTGTCATCAGTGAACAGTTATACACTAGAACATGTGATATAAGTTAGGGACTGAGCTTTCAAGGCAATAGTCTATTTCTAAAATTCTACATAGGTTAGTTGTTGTTGATTGCACCCCCTGAAGTAGAGTAAAGCTACAGGAAGTTTCATTACCCATTGCATTAGTGGTAAACACCCATTGGGTGTCCTTGGTTTAATCGCTGCAATGGCAATGTTATCTATCTATAACAATAGTACAACTAGAGTTTTATTGTAAACAATTTATGAACACATCTTTTCAAGTTAACGGGATCAGCTGAATTTTTCTAATGTCATTGCCACTTTTGAGCATACCCAACATTATGTAAAACCAGAGAGTTACAATTCTCTCATAGATGTCATATCTGTGACATTTATTTTTTAACATGCTTTTCTTAATCTGGTCAAGTAGGGTTTTATTTTGCAGTACAGAAAGCTGCATAATACCTGTTAAGATTGTCAACTGCTGCTGTTGATTCTTTAAACTATGCTTCTTCATCTGTTGTTTCTCCATGTGTATAATAACTGTTGGGATGAGTTGTGTGATATCATTAAAGACTTCGCTTTTTAAATCTGACACGATTTTGTTAGGTGGACCTCTTGACATGGTGATCATCTCTTTTTTTGTTGTCTACTGTCATATTTAAGGATCGTCTCAAGTGTATGTGGAAATCTGCGAATGTTTTGGATCTGAGTTTTTATTGGATTGTCTGCAGATTTGTGAAATGGACCCAGGTTTCTTTAGGGACTGTGATGCCTTGGTGAGGAATCTGCAGGGCAGGCTGGAAATTCTTGCAGTCTCTGTTCATTTTGAGGGGGGCACTCATGTAGATGACTATGATGATTATGAAGATGTGCCATCAGCCCAACCCAAGGAATCTACTGATTCTGTAGTACAACTGAGTGAGAAAATCCAAAAACAGAGTATCTCTGAGGAAAAGAAGGCTGAAGCGGAGGTGAAGCAAAACAAGTGCAGCACATGCAATGCTTTTGTTGGGGATGCAAAGCAGTTCAGGGATCACTTCAAGAGCGACTGGCACAAACATAATTTGAGGCGCAAGACCAAGCAGCTTCCTCCTCTTACTGCAGAAGAGTGCTTGGCTGACATGGACCTGAATGACTCGAAAGCAGATTTAAAAGAATACTCGTTTTGAGATGGTACTGATCATTATGTGATTGTTTTCTGTATGTAGATTTGCGTTGGCATCTTGTATATTTTCAGGGCCATCTTCAATGAACACTTGAGAGTTAGATTTTACAATACAAGTTACTAATGGGATTCTTACCCCCAAAAAAGATTTAAGAATACATCATTATTGTTAAGTACTGCAAATTCCTGTGTTTTGTGGGACCATAATTCAGTTTACCGGCCAGCAGGTTTCTCATTGGTTCTTCGTTGCTCTGTGTGCGTGGGTTGAACCGATTGAATTGTGAATATCTGAACTACATTGATCTTGCCTGAAAATACCTTAGGTATGTGCTGAAAGACCGAATAAATTTTGCCTCTTGTAAAAATTATAGAAATTTTGATATGGAAATGACGCCATGCTTTCTTTCATGGTGTCAGAAGCTTCTTTATCTAGGAATTCCATATATAGTTGCGAACTGGCTCTAGACGTTGTTCTGCAACAATATGGATTACTGCACCCAAAATACTTAGGAGTAAATATATATATATATATATATGCACATAAAAGTCTTCTATCATCCGTCCTGCGCTACATTTTATCAACACCAACCTGTCTGTCAACCTCAGTCAAGACCTTATTTTAGCAGGCTGTTCGCTGGAAAGGAGAAGGAGGATAGGAAGAATTGATAACATTCCCGTACCGTACACCCACTCATTCAAGTCAAGCATATGTAGTGGAAAAGGAAATCCTTACATTCATGTTCGTTGGCATCCTTCATCGGTTCTATTCTTTTGAGGATTAACAAAAGCATTCGGCCTGCTAATATGCTCCCAGTTTCTGTCTAAGGAACCCAGACCAAATTCCTGCTAACATACATGCAGATATCAGCATAGAAATGCCAGCTCCTATGAAAAGCGAGCTTGAACTCGGTGCTGTAGGCATTGATGTGACTGTATCCTTTGCAGGCTGCAAAAACAATAACAATATTTTGAATTCCTAGACTATCTTCTATTACTGTTAAAAAAGTGGATAGGCTTGGGGGTGCATGTTACCTTGATATCTTCTAAGCTCTTGAAAGTTGTAAGAATCTTTGTCCTGTGAACCCCTCCAGAAAACTTGTGAAATATGAAGCTGCCTGTTAGGGAAACCCAACAAATCTATGAGAACAATTGAATACATCTACGAGAATATATTTTATTGTGAGACCAATTTAACGAAAAGAAGCTCCTTTCTTTTATCTTTTTCTGTTTCTTTCAAATGAACTAGCTTATATGAAAACTTTTTGCATAGCGGTCCTGAACATAAATGACAAGGAATTCTGCAAGTGCAATGATATCTAAGCAGTGGTAATACTACCGAGGATATCTTCCATGTTAGGTAAAGAAAGGCTTCGTCCACAAAGTCGACACTAGAAATTTTTCTCCTGTGTATGGTTGTGGATAAAGGGGTGATGTAGCAGTTGTGCAGCTGTTGGCCGTACAGATGGATCCCTCTGGAGGCATAGTTTAACAAAAGCCCGTGCATCTTCTGATAGGTGACTGGGGATTTCAGGATAATCTTTGCTGTTTGAAATCTTAAATATTGCAGCTACCTGGTGAAGAACAAGGAAAAAATAATATTGGGTCCTCAACTCTTAGCTCATGGTGAAGGGCAAACTATTTGACTTGTATACAATAACAATATCATACCCCCTCATATTGGCTCCATGGTGGTTTTGAAGTTGCCATCTCAAGAATTGTGCAACCTAAGCTCCATATATCGACGGCAAGACTGTAACCACTAGTGTTCTTTATAACCTGCGGATAAGTAATCTTAATAAAGATACGAACCTACAGAATGCATAAAAAATATTTGATTAAGAACATGTAGCTAGAAAGAAAACGTGGTAGGAAAGAATACCTCTGGGGCCATCCAGTAAGGACTTCCTTTAAAAGAAAGCATCGAATAACACGTTGTCATCTGGATTCAACTAATAGGATATCAGAAAATAACTTGTGAAATGTCAAGTGGAATTAATTATGAAAATCAACAAGAAACTTTACATGTTTAGCCATGCCAAAGTCAACGAGCTTTATATGGCCATTAGGATCGACCAGTATGTTTGCACCTTTGATGTCCCTGTCAGGTGAACATTGTTTCCCAGTCAATTGAGGAATTTAGAGTAAGATGAGATTCCTGATAAGCGATTGAAAGTATTAAAACAGCCAAATACCTGTGCACTGTCTTCCTTCCATGCAAGTAAGCTAACCCAGAAAGAATCTGCTTGGTGTAATTTTGTATTACGGGTTCTGAGAATGGACCGTACTCACCTAGCAATTTATGGATTGAACCACCAGAAACATACTCTAAGTATACCGAGAGCTTATCTCCACCCTACATTAAGTATCAAAATCAGAATCGATATTATGAATGGCGTGGGGATGCTCAAATATGCGAAAGGGCTCATACCAGTTTGCTTCCATAATATTGAACAATGTTTGGATGTGAGAGCTCACTAACCAATGCTATCTCCTGCTCATACCAAAACCGGATGAGTCAACACATTACTCCTCATTTTGTTAATTTCAGAATTGATTCCATAAAGAGAGAGAAAAAAAAAGGCAGGTATAAGGTCTTGGTTGCAGGAGCAAAAAATGAGATAGAAACCTGATTTAATTGCTTGAGACATTCATTTGAGTTCTGATCATCAGAAATAACCCTCACTTCCTTCATTGCACACATTTGTCCATTTTCACTGTTCAAAACAGAAACTATGACATCAGATTTCAGTGACAAATAGTCCTTCATTTTCACTCGTATTTTTTGGATGACAATAATGTGAAGAATCCATGCAAAGTAGGACTGGATAAAGAAACAGGTCAAATTACCTGTTGAACGCAGCATAAACATGGCCAAATGTTCCTCTTCCTATAAGCTTTCCCTTCTTCCAATTTGACAGGAGATTCAGGTATGATTTGGTAGGAGAACTGGGAGGAAGGGGCAAAGGATGACAGGGATGCCTGTTGTTTTCTTGCTTTTTACTTGGGGACTCAAAACCAGCATCCCAAATTGGAGGCAGAGGTGATCTATGAGCTGTCAAAGCTTTTGATCCAGGACTGGAAGTTCTTGTCCATGAGTTTCTGCACTTGGTTTCTTCAACTGCGCTGAAATTACCATTTAACATTTATTCTTCACGTCCAAATTCCAACAAAAAAGCACGACTGATGATGAGACATATCAGTAAATATTTTTCCTGTTAGTCGACCTGCTTTAGACTGAATTTAGAAGTTGTATGATGAAATTGCAGTTTAAAATTGAAAGATCTAAAATGTTGGAATGAAAATGAATGGAGTTAAAATGGATCCCTTCTATTGGACTTGCCTTCACTTGGTTTTGGACACCAATAGTGAATCTGAATTCATCGACTAGTGTTCAAATTTAGATCCACAATCCTGAATTTTTTTTCACATTTTTCGACCGGGAAGCAAAATCAGGAGGTGAACCTACATTTGTGTATAAAAAAGAATCTCAAAATTGCCACCACTATAACCAGAAGGCCATCATGAAAGGAATTCAAGACCATAAGACAAATTGCATTTCCCCTGTACCATCATACCCCTTTGCCACTTAAGATAGTCTCTGAAAGCAACAAGAGACAGGAAAGAAAAACTCCAATTCAAGAAATGACTTGTTTTCTAAAGCATGCTGAATTTCTGTATGCATCAAGAAAGCAACACCTGTATCCTACATATGGCCTTAGAAACACTCATCATATATATATGATCGATCCACAACTGTTTAACCTCCTCAGGAAAAACAGAGGACTTGAGACACTAACCTGAAAGGACCAAAATCCTCATGATCATGGACAGGAGCATCATCAATAGAAGAAGTAGGAAAAAAGGAGACAGGTGAATTAGTGCTTGAACGCAAAACCATTTCAGAACCAAACATGGTCAGTTCTTCATTGTATTTCATAGATGGCTCAGAAGACAAACTCGAAGGTGTAGGTAGAGGATAAGCTTTCTTCTCCGCAGCCTCACTTGGTACATCTGAATCAAATCCCGAAAAGACAGATGAGCTAGTATAGGATCCGGAAGAAGATTTGGAATCATGACTGTTCGTTGAAGAGTTATGAGTGAGAAGGATGGATTCATCAAAGCTCTTTGGCCTCTCTCTATAGATTTCCTTATTGTTGCTGTTCTTCTTTTTCTTCTTCTCATTGATGTGCTGTCCGTGTTGATTAGTGATCACTCTGCGAGACTTTCTTGTCCACCAAGATGGCATTGTTAAGAAAAGAGAGAACTTGAGGAGATTATTGGTAGTAACTGTTTTTAGGAACTCCTTGAGGTTTTTAATTCAGTCTTCTTAATTATATACATGTCGGATGTGCATTTATTCATTTCCGTGTGCATCCGCGTATGAGAGAGAGGGGCCATGGCGGTATCTGTAGAAGCGCAAGTTGCATCCATCGTTGTTGGAGGGAGCAACGTGAATTCAAATCCTCAAAGGAAGGAAGGGAGAAACTAAATTATAATGAACTGACAGGGAGGCTAGTTGGGCTAGGCGACAGCAGGAGGTGATAGGAACTTCGATTACTATGCCCTTTTTTTTTTTCTGGATCAAATCAGATCAAGTTTGTTTTGTGGTGATATTCCTTTCTTTAACTGATGTAACTATAAGTTGACTGCAGAATTAATAGAAGACAATCTATTAATAAACATGTTCATTGATAAACTTGCATGGTTACGCAAATCGTATGAAATTTAGACCCCTTTCAATTCAGGCGATTTTTTCACATTCATCAATCACCAACGACTTCTATCCTTACATGCTGTTTAATCCATACAGCTCATTATTTCGCTGTTTAACTGGATAAGGGAAAAAGTGGTGATGGACATTGAAAATTCAAACAAAGCCCACAAGCCAAAATCACAAATTACGCACCCCTTTCAATGTGTCAAGGTACCAATGAACCTTAATTCAATTGTCTTCTTACCTCTGGAAGGCAACTAGGCAAGGACAGTGGATTGTAGAGGGTTTTTTTTTTTTTTTTTTTGCATCTTCGTGAAATATTTGATGGGGTTTTTGATCCATTTCGTAAAAATGGTGGATCTTTGGTTTTGTTGGATGATCTTTGTCGGTTATGCAATTTGATGTAAAAACTAGAAACCATCCTGCCCTATAGCTAATCATGTCGTTTCTAGTTAGTGCCGTGGGTGAGGGTTGAGCATTCATTCTCCATTGCCAATAAACTAGAAAGATCATGTATATGAACTTCCAGCTTGTTTAGTAGGGCCAGAAAACGAAAGATCTTGATAGTCTTGATTTAACCATCAACTAAACCAATTATGATCCTGTCTATACAACTAAACAAAAGAGCAGAAAAGAAAAATAAATATCTGGCATGTGCTACAAGTCAACCAAACTCAGCTCGATAATTTAACTGAAGGTACATGCTGACTGCTTGTAGACTAAAAGCCGCCATTAAAAAGCATGTCTGAAGTCTCATGCATGAGAAAGCCTGACAGGGTTAACAGAGAATTGGAGAATGGAGCCCTTCCTTGGCAGACGGTACAGATAATATGCGATGAACATAGGACCATCATATATTACAGTTTTAATGGCAGTGGGGGCAATTACAGTTGAAGTGGGGGCTTCTATTTAAAGCCAAAAAGGCTGTGTTTGGCCTCCATAGATTAAAAAGAAGGGAAACGAAGTGATTAGTCATAGTTAGCAACTGCTTTTGCTTAATTGGCAGCTGATGGGACAGTGATTTCTCTTATCCGCAAGCCACATGTCCAAGTTGTGTTTCCTTATCGGGCAAGAAGATGTTTCATTTTCCTTCAATGTCCTTCTAATCAAATTCCATGGAGAGGGACAGAAGGTATCACTTGGCATTGCGTTTGTGTTTCATTGCTTCGGGCATATTTTTTTAACTTGGGTGCAAGTCATGTTTCCTTGTGGTCGCAGATGGTAGGCTAGGACAGCATGAAAATTCTTGCAGTCAAGCTCACTACAGCAGTCACCGCAACATAACAGCATTTGTTGCTGGCAATTAAGCCCATATTCGTCGTCCTGTTTATGTCAAAAGGAGCCAGAAAAGGCATAAGTAAGCTGATCCACGGAGCAAAACTATATTTTCCTAATTACTTATAATTGCCTGTTGAATTAATCAAGAGATTTTTTTTTTTTTTGAATCGAGAAAATTATAACACATACAGACAGGCAAACAGATTTTCTTTCAATTTGAGAATAGAATATCCTCTAGTAGGTCCGGTTTGCCTCCTAATAACTTCCCAACTACTCAAATAGACATTCAATAATGCCAGTAATGGATAGGTTTCCCTCCTACTTTTTTAACGTAAGAGAGGGAGCCATAGATGTCGAATAATCAATACCATGTATTCGTAAATGTAAGTATCTTGCTCTTCTCATCTTCCTAAAACCACAGCATTGAAATCATATTTGATTAACGATGCGAATGAATAAACCAAGCATAGCTATTCACTTACGATATCCATCTCTGTAGTGAATTGTACTGCCTCCTGGGCTACTTCTAGTCTCACTACTGCACTACAACATTTTGGCTGCTTATGCTTCATATATTCTTGCAAGAGGAATAATAAAAAATCACCAACCTTTCTTTCATCGGAAATTAAAATTGGAGCTTTACTCCCGGAAAATGATGATTCTTGTTGCAAGGTTGACACATCATGCGCTGCTGACTACAACTTACAAGAGGCGAGCCATTGGTGTTTCTTTGAACGCTTTTGAGGCTAAACTATTGAGGTTTCGTTTAGTATGATAATTGCAAATTGATTTAAATTGTTTTGTAAGTTTTTATATAAAGAAAGCAGTGTGTCTCCTCTCTATTTTGTAGCAGGACATTCTCTCTTCTCTTGTTTATGAAATTTTATTGCTAGTGAATTGAACATAAATGGACTTGGCATGACTTGTATTATCTGGTTTTATCAAAAACATTGTTTGCTAAACATATTTATTCGTATTATAATATATTCCTATAATAAGTTATTTATAAAAATAATTTCTGAATTATAACTCAAAATCAAACATTATTTTTTACAAGTGATGTTAAACTGAGGTATTTCCTAATCAGTTTTTCTATCATTTTTTCTATATTAAGTCACTATCATATCATACTTAATTTTTTTTTTGTTGATTATAAAAACTGAAATTTTTTAAATCCAGCAGCAGTCCATAAGTAGTGACACGCAAAAAAAAGAAAAAACAAAAGAAATTATCTAAATATAAAAATAAAAAATAATGGATACAAACAGTGATCATAAGCTTCCTACTTAGTACTTCCTATCAATGGCAAGTTTATGGTTATGGACAACCAGCATAAGTCCTTGAGATTTTTCTATTGGAGGTTCACTTCACAAAATGTCCTCCACGTGAACTCCAACACTTCTACAACCTCACAGTTTTGTGAATTATATCCTTTCATGATATTTGACTATCTATTTCTTGGCATTTATAATGTCAGTATTTAGGCTCAAATATCAAGTATTTGTAGAAGTATTTATAATAGAATAGCCTGCAATGCAAGTGCATGCAAAACGAAGGGTAACTTCAATTTTATGTGGGGGTGATTTTTTTCAGCAAATCTCATAATAGGTGAAAGTATCATTATTCTATCTGAATTCTTCCCATTATTTGAGATTTTGTTTATTAGAATCAAATGGTTGGGGTGGGGGGGGGGCGGGTGGGCAAGGCTAAATGGATGGATGTGGCAAAGAATGATTGATGGAAGATGGATCCATCTTGTTACTAATGAGATATCACTAATTACAACCATAGCAGTTTGCACCATGCATAAATGATAAGAAGGCAAAAAGGAGATGGGCTGAGGCCACTGACAAATGCAACAAACAAAGCACAATAACAATGTAGCCCAGATCAGTCTCAATCCTAACCAATAATGGGCCCAGCCTCTAGACTTATATACTAGCACGTGGCACTCCTGGTGATCGTTAGATCCGGACCCCACAAAAGTGATTAGATCCTCATTATAGCGAGCAGGAGAGCTCATAAAATTGATTGATGTCGAATTATCACCTGCCCAAGAGTGGGACTGAATAAAGGTTGCGTAGCTCGCAACTTTTGTTGCTTTTTTTCTTTTTTAATATAATTGAAAACTGATCTTTCAACTATTTTTTTTTTTATGAGTACAGATTAATTTTAAAATGAAAGTTTTAAGTTTTCTATACTCTCCAAATCGAAAAAGCATTGTGATGGCTATAAAAAAAAAACATGAAAAATAAAATTTAAACTTTGAACTCTAGTTGAAAATTCAAAATTCTCAGTACTGAATCATTTCTTATGATAGTGCTACTCTCAATATACTTGATGATCTAACCTGTAATAATTTATTTTTTATATTTTTTTCACAGCGGACAATCAGGTTCTGTCTGGTTTAATTAGTAAGTTCTTAGGCACTGAAATTTCATGCTTTAAAAAAAAAAAAACATGTGCGTTTTGGACGGTTTAAATAATAAATTTTATCTCAGTTCTATTGTGATTTGATAATTTTTGACTTATTGTATTAAATCATATAATTTAAACTTTAAAGTATTAAAGATTGGACAAATATGATCTAAATGACTCAAACTCGGTTATATATAATGGTCAATTATGTTAACGAGTTATTTGAAATGCCAAAACAACATCGTTTTGACATTCTGCCGTTAATTATATTTGTTTCTTAAAAAAAAAATTTTAACCCCCTAATCTTCAACTTTTTCTTATAAAATATTATAAATATTTTTAATTCCTAATCTTGAATTTTTTTAACTTTTTTTAATAAAATATTATAAATATTTTATAAAAATATTTTTTTATAATTTATAAAATTAGAGGGTTAACCCTTAATTATGCTCATTTTAATTTATAAAATATTTTTTTAATCCCTGAAATTGTGAATTATTAATTTTTTTTTTACAATACCATTTTATAAAAAAATTAAAATTAGGGGGTTAAAAATTTCTAAAATATTTTTATATAATTTAATATTTTATAAGGAAAAAAAGTTATAAAAAAAAAACTCAAGAATAGAAGGGTAAAAATTTCTAAAATATTTTTATATAATTTAATATTTTATAAGGAAAAAAGTTCAAAATTAGGAGGGTTAAAAATATTTTTAAAATATAATTAGCAACAAAATGGTAAAACGACGTCATTTTAATATTTTAAATTAATGAAGATTGGATAATTTGGATCATTTTGTCTAATTTATAATGCTTTGACATTCAAATTACACAATTTGATAGTATAGATTCAAAATTATCAAATCGTAATAGAATAGAAGTAAAATTTATCGTTAAATCGATTTTTGAACAAAACCAGTCTTTCTATCTAAAATTGTTACTACCAATTTTCATTAACCATCAACATTCAAAGTTGACTAAAATTCCTACCATTCATAATGTGTCATATCTCTTTCTACATCACTAATTTTGAAATTAACATAATAAACTTCTAAGTAGTTCAATTGACTTAATGTCACTTAATGTCCTCTCTTTTTTTGAAAAAAAAATTCGAGTTCAAATATTTCTTAGATATATAGTTACGAAAGATAAATTAAATTTAACTTAATCATTATTGTTCATGTTTAGTCCCATCTCTCACGGTCACGATTGCTTGTACAGTAGCAGAATCAATAACTTGCTTTATGGTTAAGTGATTTGGGGGGCTTTGGATTTTTAAAAATAAGGAATGAGGATTAGTCAGGTCAGTTTTAATGGACAACTAATTCGTCATTTTGTGAAATTTAGCAAGCATAGCAGATTTTTGGGGAAGCATGTACAGGTAATTAGAGATTATTCCCTGGCTTATGACCTAGTGCCAAAAACATTCAATATTTCTTGGAAACTTTGTTAAAGGGTCACTGTCTAAACCAACTAATATAGGCAACTGTATATTCCAAACAATGATCCTGAGCTTCTTGGTGGATTACAAGTTTCTGTAGGCAACTAATGAGGAGTCTCAAAAGCATGGAAAATATTTCTCATAGCAGGCAATTTAATTGGATCTGTAAGATTTTTCTTTGTGAGCTGACTTCACGAAATGCCATCCACACGAACCCCAAACCTTCTACCACCTCACGATTTTGAAGGGTATATCCACGCTGAAAAGTTAGAGATCATGCAATTTAAAGGATTAAAAGAAAAAGGAAAATTAGAAGAGTTAAATATTGAAAATAAAATAAAGATCTTGTAAAACTCTTGTCCGAGAGACCAAAGCCACAACTTCTTATTCATGGTACTTTCGAAACTCCATAACCTGTAAACAGATATATCATCATCCCAGAGAGAGAGAGAGAGAGAGAGAGAGAGAGAGCGAGAGACATAAAGAAAGAAGGAATGGCCATGAAGAATTGCTTCCAAGTTAGTTCAGTGAGCACTACCAGAGCTGGTGTTTGCCATCCTTTTGCTTCTGTTGAAAAGCTTCAATTGCCAACATGTAAAGGACTCAACACGTCCAATTTATCATTATCTTCACCTTCTGCATCCTTTCCTCACTCATTGAGAAGCAGATGCCAAAAATCCCGCATTGTCTGCAAAGCTCGTGAAGCTGTAGATGCAGGTTTGCAAAAATTCTATCTTTACAGCTTTTTATGCATCTCTTGTTTACTAGAACATCATGTAGAGAATGATAGTATCAATTTAAAGCACTATAACTAATCCTAAATTCTTTCAGCAAGTAGGCTACGTACTTCTTAAAGGAAGTAAACAAACATTAGATTGCCCCTTGTGTTTTCTGCTACTTATATTTCCTTATCCAATTGCAGGAGACAGTATTTGATGGAAGGATAGTATCTTAAATAAATTCGTCAGTTTTCTTCTTTCTTTTTTCTGAGGATGAATATTTTTGAAATCTGATACACTCAAACGTTTGGAATGTGCAGTTCAAGTAGCGACAGATGCAAGCTGGGATGCTGTGATTGGGAGTGACACCCCTATTCTTGTGGAGTTTTGGGCACCATGGTGCGGACCTTGTAAAATGATAGCACCAATAATCGAGGAATTGGCAAAAGAATATGCAGGAAAAATAGCTTGTTACAAAGTAAACACTGATGACTGCCCTAATATTGCCACCAAGTATGGAATAAGAAGCATACCAACTGTGCTGTTTTTCCGGAAAGGAGAGAAGAAAGAAAGTGTTATTGGAGCAGTGCCCAAGACCACCTTGTCTAGTTCCATAGAGAAATATATAGATGCTTGAAAACAACAGATTATTACGTGGAGCTATGATGGAGCTATAAGTGCATAGCTATGGAAACTTCCTCAGTTCTTGTTCAAATTGACAACGCAATGTGCATCTCTTTCTTCAGTTTATGAAATTGTCTTTCCTTCATTTGTATATGAATAGAAATCAATTTTAGCCCATCATGCAACGCACTGAAAGGTCCAATATTTAATTTGCAAATCACATCCACCTCAATTCATCTGGATTACACCATGTTCGTTTGATTTGCCACTGCTCCTAATCGTGCTTTTAAGTAAAATGTCACCATTGTAATAATTCGATTAATCCATGCTAAGCACATAACAAAAAAATTAGTTGCCAGTTGGCAAGATCCGAAGACGGATAAGATCAATCCCTAAGTAGCTTCCCTACCTCACCACTTATTTCCAGCCAAGCGGTTTTAAGGCATCACTAAGACACCAACAAACCCCCTCGACTCGTTGAGCTTCGCCATTCTTGGGAATTTACAACCAGGTTAGAAGACTCAATGCCTTAAAATTGAACTGATGAGCATTCATGGTAGCTATATTTTAATGAACGATGAGACTGGAAAATGAGCAGGAGCTACACATGGAAAGAGCTCTCAACCAGACAGCTATTCCTCCCTGAATTCCCATTCAAGACCGTTAGAAAAGAGGCTGTATTGAGTCATAGTCAGGAAAACAATTAGAAGTAAATGAGGCAACTCAAAGAGGATTTAATATTTCATTGATAAAACACTATGCTATATGTTTACTTTTCCTCGAAAATTAGTACAAAGTGGGAAGCACGCCCTCAAGCTATTCCTTCGTGTAATGCCATCTTCATAGGGCTTTTATGAAATTCTGCCCACACTCAAACTGCACAAGCAGCTGCTGAGACATCAGTATAATTAACAGAACCTTCAAGGGGATGGTTTCCAATCAAACTGAAGATTACTAAACCCATTAACTGCTCCTAGCCCACTAAGCAGTTGGTTCCCCAAATCCTGTTGATGATTCATGCTCTGGTCTCGTACCATTGATGGCATACCCATCCGACCATTCATCATAGAGTTATTACCCATTGCAGCTCTGATTCCATTAACCATGGCAGACTGCGCAAGTCCACCCATTGTGCCATATCCAGCACCCCCTATTCCAGAACTATTGACTGTCCCATTTCCCACCAGGCCATTTCCTCCATTGAGAATTGTATTGTTACCTGTTGGCAAAATTCCATTAACATTTTTCACATCATTCCCCAAAGAACCAACCCCAACCATGCCACCAGTGCCATTAAGTTGGTTGGACAACATCATTTCATGTATGATTTTCTGGACAGAACTTTGAGAATCACCATGGTCAGCCTCACCAGAAAGAGCTGGCTGTTGCAGGGGGATATTTGCTGGTGAATTTGTGGAGCTAATATGATTAGCAGCTGTCAAGGCACCATGAGATGTTTGTGGAGGATTATTAGATGATGAGGGTGTCGGTGACTGGAAGGGAGAAGGATTAGGTTGTGCCTGTGGAATTGTACTGGAGGAACCAGGAGATGGAATCTGAACAGAATTTCCTCCATAGGGACTGCTTGCATTATTCATAGAATTTTGTTGTCTTGCATTCATAGAATTTTGGTGGAGAAGCCCCACAATGGTGCTGGCAGAGGTGGTTGTAGATGCTGTGGTGAGAGAGTGATTTACACTAGGCATACCATTGTTAGCAGCAATTTGCATTGTGACTTGGGCAGAACTTTGATCGCTATTCGAGTTCTGGGGTATTGTTTGCTGTTGTTGCTGTTGCTGCTGCTGCTGTTGTTCAGGCTGCTGAGCTTGACTATGGAACCCAGATGAAGCACCTGTCCTCCGAGGGAACTTGGCCAAACTCTCTGAAACAAAAATAATAATTCAGTGCCCCATGTGACAACAAAGGACAAATATGGTATGATGGTGATAAGTATGATCATCACTGCAATTTCTCCACCGGCATGAACTTTTTAAGGAACCATTTCATTGGGACACCTTCAGAAAACAACCGACATGAAAGTAGAAATAATAAATAATAGCCAAAGAAAAAGCTCTACAAACTTACCCATTGGTCCAGTTCCTGTTTCTCGGCTATAATCAATCAAGTCTTTCATACTATTTACCACTTCTGATATCTGCAATGAGAAGGAACAAATTATTGTCAGCGAAAAATCAATCAGACTGCAGATAAATTTGGCAATATACCTAATGAAACATCTTGAAAATCACCATTCATTGGACATTCTTACAGTTAAAAATCTTTTCAGATGCCATATCCAGACTTTAAGGAATCATGTGTAAATGTTAACAAAATCATCAAGATCATTTTCAACTGTTAGTGATAGATTTGTTAAAGCATGGGATAAGCACGTAGAAGCCATCCCACTTCAAACAGCATTCATTAGTATTAAAGGACCATCTCACCTAAAAGCTTAAGCTGATAGATGAGGTCCTAGAATATAATTTATACTAGTCTCTAACAATTAGATTATCAAAAATTTGCAACCCCATATCATTGCAAAAGTTTTGACATGAGTTTAAATGAATGTATAGCATTGGAGCCAGTAGTTAAGAACTAACGATATTTCCAAGCCAAAATTTCAAACCCATAGTAGAAATGGAAATTTACAATTACAGAGCAAATCGATGCCACAGTATATTTTAAAGATATTAATTAATCTATAATGAATAAAGGATAAGGCAGTACAGTACAATATGAACCCGGGAGGGGGAATGCATATTTGCATAGAGGCTACAAGCATACAGAGATCATGAAATGTCAGTGCAACATCAGCTCTTAAACTGTTGTTTTTAGTGGAAGTTGTTGAAAAAGTACAAGCAACTGCCAAATCTTTTAGGAAAGTGAGCCTTCCATATTCATTATGTAATAGTTCCTCAAGTAAAACCATGCCAAAAATAACAGACATTAACATCTGAAAATCAAGTCGATAAAGTTGACTTGGTAGATTCTCAAGCAACCATATTATGGAAGACGATTCTTTCTAGGCATGACTTGGTACAAATTCATTCCAATGAGCAAAAGGACGACATAGGAGAGCACATTTGCATTTAATAACATAAAACAATTCAACTCTTAACTGCCAATGAGAATGAAGAAGAAAATATGAATGCTTTCCACCAGAAAAACAAAGTGAAAATGAACATGTAAAGCTCAAATCAAAAACACTAATATTTCAAACCAAAAGGATCTCCTCTTCACCAGAATTTGTAGTGACCCAGGCCTTCCACCCATCACAGAACTAATTGTAGAAAATGCATGCTACTCGTGACTTTTTAACATTTAGCAACCATCAAGGCAATTCATGAGCCACAATGACCCTAGAAGGATTTAGGACATCACCTGAAGGCAACGCACATATCTCTTTGTATATCCTAGATCATTTACCAATGGCACTTCCAAGGCTTTTGCCAATTGTCGAGCTGATGCAACAAACCTAAAGAAGGATAACTCATCAATACAAATATAAGGCATGGTTAGTACCACACATATATTACAAAAATGGCATTGCCAATTGCACTCATGTAGAAGAGTTTATAAATAAATGGATAAAGAACTCGCAAAAACACAAATTTCTGCAGATGTAGAGAAATAAGTCAAGTGAACTAAGCATAGACCCAGGGCCAACCACAAAGGACGGATGGGAGGATGCATAACTTGTCTCACCTTGTGAAAAATGGAAATCACATCCCTTACATGTCTTAAATTCAAGTAAATGCAAACTCGCTCTTGACACAACTACTAATATTCCTCCAACCATCTTCTCTTAAATTATCGAATGAAGAATGGAAAAACTATGTTTGAAATGGAGTAGCTGATGGTTTAGTCTCATATCTCTCACAGACATCCTAAGCAAAGATGAGAAGAAACATGGTAACAAAGTATTAATTTGCATTTGGGTTCAAAGGTGCGATCACACCATATAAATTTAGCTTGACAAAATGAATGAAAGACTGCCGTGCACATCTATTGAAAACATTGAAAAACTTTTGAGCTTGATTGATAGAGCAATGGTACTCAAATAATTACAAAAGCCTTGTCACTATCAGTAAAACAAAAAGATCTGAGTAACCACAAAAGATAGAAACATCAAGCGTATGCTCAAACAAAGGCTCATGGGACAAATATAATGTAGTGATACAACTTACATGTTACAATTATTTTGCAACTCAGGGACAGTTAAATTGGCCGATCCATTTTGAGTAGCAGCCTGGTACTTCTGAGCTGCAGCACCTAGCTGACTTACCTACAAAATGTAAAGAAAACAATGAATACTTGATTTACAGTTGTAAGCAGGAAATATATTCTAGCTCCTAGATACCATACCACATAGCAAAAACCTCAATCCTTCTAATCAAGTGACATAAGGGTTTGTTCAGTGATGAACTGAACATCAGCATGGGTGTGAACAGGAAGCTGAAGCTACTTCGGGCATTTCACAAAAATCAACAGGGCCATAAACCACATAGAAAATAACATAAAATAATAATCACAACAGCACAAGCAAGAAGCAAGAAGCTTTCACTATGCATTACTTAACGTCAATATTTGTTATTTAAACTGGATATTTGAGGTGCTTTAGCCTTTTTAAGGAAATGGACAGGCCACAAACCAGACTTTGCTTATAGCATGTCCATATAAAATCTACAAATATATAATCAATCAACAACTCAAATGGCACATAATCAGCCATATAAAGTTCCAATTCAATTCATTTATATGATCCTGATCCACTGACCATCTCTATGGAAGCACAAGTCTTCCTACTGCTGTGAGTTAAACAAGCAACAGTACATAGAAGATGACATAACAAGGAAAAAAAATGAAAACTAAAATGATGGAACTCTTTGATACCAAAACTGATTCTGCACACCATTTCTAACAAGCTAACACCAAAAGAGACAAACAAATTCAATTAACTTCACTTCCAATGAACAACTTACAAGGATTATTCTAATCAATGCTATTCCGCATGCATCAAGCATGTTATATGAAAAAGATAGATTAAAATAGCAATCCCGAACCCAGTTAACCCATCATCACCAGAATGAATAACTAGTGCACCAAGAACCACAACATTACCTAATATCAAACATATCATAGTGTCAATCAGCCAACATAGTGTTGGGTAAAAAAAGTTACCAGCAGGAATTGAAAGAAATTAAGAACTTCTCGCCTAATAATGAAGTGCTGCTAACCTGTGGTATCAACAATCTTCGAGGTATTAGCTCTTCATGCCGTCGAGCACAAAACTCCCAAGAGCATATCTGGCAAAACAATGGAAGAACAGAGGACAGAAAAAAATCAGCTGATACTTCCAGAAGAATTTTAGAAGATAATAAAAGCAAAAGGGAATTTCTCTGATGTGTAACCTTCAAGTCTGGAGAGAAGACTATCCGTAGCTGACCATCACGAACAACACGAAGTTGATCAAAAACACTTTCCTGTATTGCTTTTGCATAATCCAGGACAATTTGACCAGAAGAGTTTTGATATTCACGTGGCATGTCAACATAAAGAAGTTCTTCCAAGGTACCACTTTCATATTTGATTTTGAAAAGCCTGGGAAGAACCTCCACAGTTGCCTCTGAAAGAAAAGAATGTCAAAATCAGATATAACATGATCCAGTGGACAGTTTAACAAAGAGACAAAACCATTCAAACTAGCACTGTGGAACAATCTCATCCACGGACAAAAACAACATGCAATGAATTACAAAGATTTTGAAGATCTAAGAACATACCAAAACCACGACCTGGCTTGCGATTGCAAATTTCACAATGCCATACATCCTGCAACATTTGCACAAATCATTACAATTTACATCCATAATTGGTTCTACAAGAAATTAAACAAGCAGTTTTTAAAAAATCTTATAACTAATTTCTCTAGCATGGCTACCACTAAAATCATGGGAGCATTTTGTTTTTTTTTTTTTTTGTTTTCTGGATTCGATACAAAGCATCCAAAGAGAAAACTAAGAAGATGCTACGAACATGCATAGATCTTTGAAATGATACACCTAACTTGTCTACTTTCACCTAAGACACCAGCATAGAAGACCTTGATGGAATTTACTTCACAAAAATAATTTTATAAAATCACCAAGTTTCTCTAGCAGCAGACCTGAGGGAAAACGCCAGTTGCTTGCCGACCATTTCCATACATAGAAACACACCACTTCTTTTTTGCGTGGGGAGCAAAGAACTCGGAAACAAATTTCCTCCAGAACTCAATGTTATTGTCCTGCATGAACGGTAGGAGCTATTACAAATCAAAACAGCCAAATGCAAACACTTAGAACAGACTTCACAAGGAAATCTTACTTCAGGTCTGCGCTGCTGTTGATGCATGTAACTTGTGAGACGACGGGCACACATCCCGGGTTCGTATGCTGGTTTTACAGGAGACCTAGAAGGTAAATTCTGTTGTTGAAATTGTTGTGGTAATTGAGACCGTTGCTGCGGCATTGCCTTCAAAAGTTGCTGTTGCTGTTGTTGATGTAACTGCAGCAGCCTTTGCTGCTGCAAAAGATTTAATTGCGCAACAGCCTGCTGAGAAGACTGCCTTGACATGTGAAGGAATTGCTGTTGATGCTGATGCTGCTGCTGCTGTTGTTGTTGCTGTTGTTGCAAAAACAAAGATTGGTCAGAATGTTGAGGTTCCAACTTCACAGTTGGCGAACTTCGCATCATCGGGATTTGCTGTGGCTCCAACTTGACTGGACCAGGATTTCTCAGCGGCTGCTGCTGCTGTGCTCCATGATGATCATTTGTCACATGTGGCTCCATCTTAACAGGTCCAACACCAGCTAACCCTCCTCGTATTGATTGATATTGGTGTTGCTGCTGCACCTGCTGGGAGTTGTGCGAACCAGAGAACTGCTGCATTGATTGCTGACCATGCTGGAAACTTTGTGCTTCAAGTTGCTGGGACTGCTGTTGATCTGGCAACAACTGGTTGCCAGAAGGATTTGAAAACTGTTGTCCCTGAACTTGACCAGAAAGACCAGGGTTAACCATATTTGATGGTACAAATGACGATGAAGGAGCATTGAAACCCATTCCATTACCAACATTTGAAAGCGGATCAGACTCTGCCCCGGTGTCAATATTTCCACGCTGACTGCTACCAGGGCCAGGAAGTCCAGGATTTGGACCTCCATTCCCAAAAGACTGGTTCAGGAGGGAAGACACATTGGGCACATTTCCAAGCATGCTCATGTTATTATACTGAGTACGGGGGGACACTAGAGAAGGGAATGCTGTTTGGGAACCCAAAGGACCACCTTGAGCTCCTAACATCCCCGAATTTGATCTCAAAAGTGAAGGAGAAACAGACTGGGCACCCCCAATGGGAGTAGGCGGCCCCGAGAGTACCATCTTATCAAGAATCACAATTTTTTTTTTTTTTTGAAAAACAAAAAACACCCTTTGGAGTATACAACTATCTAAAACAACATAAATTGAATAGCCTAGAATTACATAACAAAGCAGGATAAAGCACTCGGACAGCTGGACTCAGTCACCACTTCAACTCCACATCCAATACTGCAGACCTCAAAGTCCTTACTGTGTTCCAAATATGTTTTGTGCCTGAGAAAATGGTGCTGCGTTCGATGAAACACGAGGCACACACCAAAGAAAACCAGAAGCAAAGAAGAATCTTCGATTCTGAACATTCTACAGCCGCGCTATCTTGACACGACCAGCAATCTTTAAATGGTTCTCGCATGAATATCTGTATGACACGAGGAGTTTCAGATCTATTTGAATCCAGATAGTCTATATATAAAGCAAAATAATTCAAAAGCCAAAAGTAACAAATTTTCGCAGCTAAATACAGCTTTTAAAGAAACTTAAAATCTTTACATCCTAAGGAAAACCCATATCAAAATCACAACAAAATTAACCAACAAGACCCATGTCCCCAGACTCAAAAACCCAAAAAAAAAAAAAAACATAAATAACGCCTTATTCACCCCATCCAAAAACTCCAATTCAAATCTCAAAATCCAAAGAAAAACTTCAAGATTGCAACTTTTCAAAAACAACCCAATAAATGCTCAAAACGGTAACAACAAGTTCAGAAAGGCTGAGAACAGAACTAAAACAACCTTGATCGAGCTTCAAGAAACTAAAAAGGATGCAAAACTAAAAAAAGAAAAATGGGTTTTTTTTAGGAAATGAGAAAAGTTGAAAAGGTTTGTTAGCTTAAAAAAGAGACTTACAAATGAAGAACTTACCGCTCTATAATACTCAAACAGTAGTGAGGCTGATACACTCTCAACAAGATTTCTTTCAATGAAACTATAAGCTGAACAAAAAAATAATAATAAAATAAAACAAAACTCTTTTCTGATTACAAAGAGGTGTTTTATTTTAGTTCAAAAGCTCTCAAGACTCTAGGGTTTTGTTTGGTTTTGCTCAAGCTCTTCAAAAATCTAATCTTTCTCTGCTTTCTTTCTTTTTTCTGAAGTTCTCTACTGTTGCCGTTGTTTTTCTTTCTTTTTTTCTCTCCCTATTAGTATCTGTTGTTGTGTGTCCTGTATCTTCGCTGCTGAATCTAGAGAGAGGGGGAGATTATTTTTTAGAGAGAGAAAGTTTGAGAGAGAGTGTGTGTCCTTGCGGACGTCAAATATGTATTCGATCGGATTCAATTTTTTTCTTCTTTCATTCTTTTTCTCTCTCTAGCAAGTGAAGTCAAATGCTATTCTTTCTCTCTTCATTCGCTTATGTTTTTTTCCATGTGAATGTTACATGTATGCATGATATGCATGGTCAGCCGTGGTTTTATGGGTGACATGGCATGGCATCATGCTCTAGTTCTTGCATGTTGCATTTTGTTTTTTGAAAATGACATTGGATTAGTTGTTATTTACAGAAATGTCCAGTTAGGGTTAGTGCTGTAATGAATTCTGCGTGGGGGCTTGGACAGTATCTCTCTGTTGATCGTTTTGCCATGTGTCCTTGAGTTTTATGAAGGGATCGTGAGATTTTATGCTAATAAAATGTTTGTAATTAAGTGACTGGTGCAGATCAAGGATTAATGGTTAATGGTTGTAGTGTTCTTTTATTCTTTCTTTTGTTTTTATGATGTGTTTTTTTTTTAATCTATTTTTTTACATTTGGTTTCTGTTTTAATTTCATGTCTTTATTAACTTTTTGAGTTAACGGTATTAAATCGTACCGTTAGACTCATGGGATTGCAATACATATAATTTTTTTTATCTTAATCATGTGTCGTTATTCTTTTTTTTTTATGGAATTTAAATTAATAAATATTTTTAAAAAATATTTTTTATATTTTGTTAATTTGACTAAAAGTAAAAATATAATTTTTGTATTGTTTTCACTAAAGCACTTTCTTGAGATGGAAAAAAGCTCAAATTTTGCAACAAAATTTACATCTTCAAAAAAATCTTAACATGATTTTATATTCCTATTGTTTAGTCAAATTAAGAAATTTTTAAAATCAAAATAAATAAACTATAATAGACTCTTGTGAGGTATTGTCAAAATTATGCCATTCAAAAGTTTACAATTTTAGCTAAAATTGTCTTCATGTTTAAAACAAATATTGTAAATATTTTATTTTTATACTCAAAATTTGCTTCCTGTCATAAAAATAAATTTAAACTCGTAAATGACATTTTAGATTAAAAAAAATATTTTTCTTTCAACCTTTTTTTCTTCAATTTTTTTTTTAAATGACTAAATATGTCTTCATTTTTTTAGATTTTTTTAAATAACTAGATATAACACGAGACATCAAAATAAAATAATTTTATTTATTTAGTTTGATGCGCGGGTAAAAAATCTAATTAACTTTGTTGATTTTCTTGATAAAGTGATCTTTCTTTCCACCGAGAATGTCATGTCACCTTCACGTGGGGAGTCATTAACTCTCGTTTTGTTATTTTTAATTGATATAAAGTTTATGAACATTAAATTATTTTTTATCATAAATTGAAATTAAGACATTGAATATTAAGTTAATGATTACTTAAAACATTTGATTATCTATATTTTATATTTCAATAATTAATTTTTTAAATATTTTCATATAATTTTCGTCTATTGTATTACATTTTTTCCTATTCTTTAATAATTGTAGCTGTAATTTTTTTTCATGCACTAAAATATATAAAGATAAATAAAGATAAAGTATTTTTTATGTAATAAATTTATTTAATTATCAAAATACTGATTTGTCAGAACTGAATTATGGCATCTTTTAAAATAATTTTGAAATCATGTAAAAGATTGATCCAAAGAAATATTTTCTCTATTAGATAATTTTGAGAATAATTCATATCATATTTTTTTTACTTAGAGTTTTATTTTCATAGCATAAGAAATTATGTGTTTACCAATCACGAGATTTTTCAAGCTAACAAACCTTGTAATTAACATACAGGCTTTGATACAATCACTGTTCATATTATATTTTTTTACTTTAAAGTTCTATTCTCACAGCATAAGAAATCATGTGTCTACCAATCACAAAAAATTTCAAGTTAACAAACCTAGTAAGATACTGGTTTTGATACAATCATTGTTTCACAATATTGTCCTGAAAGATGGCAGGACAATGGCTTCGTGGCCGATTCCATCTAAATTATAATTAACATCGGTTTTTCTTTAAAAAAAAAAAAAAAAACTGTTTAAACACGATTAAAAAATTTAATTTGTTGGGTGAAATTTTAAAACATAATTTATATTTTTTTTAATAAATACACATGTATTCGTGTTTTAAAAATTATAATACACAGGTATTCATGTTTTTAAAACTATATTCATCTTTTTAAATTATGTATAATGCAACACAAAATTAGATTGGTAGTGATAAATGGATAAAAGGTAAAAATATAGCATGCTTGCTTGAGTGAAAAATGAGGCAACAGTATATGGTTCGCTAAAGCTTCAACGGGGAAACAGTAAAACAAAAACATCCATGATCGTGTGCAAAAAACAGTAAGAGAATTTGCACGGCTCAGAGTACTTATATTTGCACTGGATCAGGGTCTGTATGTAAATACACACACTCTCAGTTCGTTTGAGTGTCTCAATCATGGCCGTTGAAGGGTCCCAGGCCCACTCAACTATTTTTAGCCTCCTTTTTAACCCTTTGAGTTTTGACACTGAAGAGATTGCATGGTGGAGTTGTGCATACGGTGGTCATCCGTTGGAATTCTTTCTTGTTCTCATGCTTTTGTATTTATGCCTTTTAGCATGAAATTGAATGCAATTGGACCACCATTACACTCACAAATAACGATAAATTTTAAAATATATAAATAATAATTAGTATTATATATAATAGTTACTACATGATCTAATTTGAGAAAAGAGAGATAAATATATTGAATTAAATTCGTATTCATTAAAAGTGATAAGAAGATTTTCATCTTTGCGTAATTTTTTTAAATTTTTTCTTCTCGTTTCTCTCTCCTTTTTTTGTATTTATCTCTTTCCTCAAAATAAATCTATAAAATAATTATCGTATACGTCATTATTTATTCTTTTGCGTGTTATAAAATTTCTTCACAAACAACACCATAAAAGAAGAAAAAACACCCGATGTAATATCAGTGCATGAGAGGCCGCAGATCATGAATTTTAATTCATGAAAATTCACCAACGAGAGATGGATTAAAAAAAAAAAAAGTCCCAAAGTTCCATAAAATGACACCAACACTTGTTAACTCTTTTTCGGATTCATGTTTCGTGATATGAATTGTTACTCTTAATATAATACTCAAATGTACAAGGATCATGCTACGTTTGAGAAATTCCGGGTCACGACACTAGCTACTTACATCACTTCCAATGGCATTTTTTGTAAATAAACTAAATCTCTTACCCAAACTCCATGCCTACCTACCCATACCCAGACCTGCCATATCTGCCACACCCGATTAACATGTAAAATTTCGCAGGAAAAAAATAGATAAATGGATATGCTCGTTCCCGCTCATACCTGTTAAATACCCAATTAAACTAAAATATAATCACATTTGAGACAAAATATATATATATATAAAATAGAAATTATTTTCTAGAATGCAATCAATAGTCACTCTAGAAAATCTTTTCCACTTTAACTATAAGAACATTTAAGGTTTTGTTTATTTGTGAATAATTTTCAGTTTTTTTATAAAATATTCTAGAAAGTAAAAAAAAAAAAAAACACATTGATTATGGAAAATGAAATTAGTTTCTTTAAAAAACATGTTTCTCAAAATCCAAAGTAGTCCCACATGTTATCGGTGTCATTGCAAAGTATGGCAGTGATATATACAGATAACACTCCTATAATATAAACACTTTTACAAAGTTCTATGAAGATCAACTCGAGGCTATTCAAGTGTTTTGTGTCCTTAAGTGTACACCCCAGCTAAATTTAGATGGATGCAATCCCACCTAGGCTAAATCTAAACAAATGTACCAATCGTTACGATGGAAGATGCCCCCTGACAGGAGGACTCTTTCGGTCTTGATATGGAGAGTTAGACCTGTCTATTACATATCAAAAACACATATAACACATCTATTAGAAAAAGACACACTTCTCATATTATTGTATCTAGCTCACAACAACAGCAACAACATCTTCATTGTACATACTTATTGAACGTTGTTCTTCTAATATAAAAAATATCTATCCTCTAACTGGTTTTTAGAGTTTTTTTTGAAAATAAAAAAATAAATTATTTTACTTGTTCATACAACTTGAAAAGCGTCATGACTATATAAACAATCATAATACTTTTAAATTAATAATTCTAAATTTATTTACTTCTTATTATATATTATTCGATTTTTTTATATCAATATTCTATTTTTTCGTACTAATTTGATCGTCAAAAGATTCTTTATCTAATCAAAGGATTTGTTTCAATGGTATTCTCGTCGTCGTCAACAATTACCACATTCGTATCAATTGTAAAGGAACCATGCAGTCTTTTAAGGTTTTATGACTTCATCGGGTAGGACAGTTTACTCCAGTCATGGATAAGCTGTCAACCCTAGCATATCAATTACGATTTAATGGCATGAAACTATGAAAATCCATGGTCATATGGTTTCAATTTCCATATCAATGAAACATGTCGATTCCAAAAATGGTAACCGAACCCTTCAAGTTACATTTTGCGATCAAGCTAATCCGTTCGTCTAATTATGTTAAACACCTCCATTAAAGTCAGAGAAAAAAATTAGCTTTTTAAAAATTTCAGTAAATTCTGTGTGTGCCACAACGATAATATAGGAGACAAATTATGTGAGGTATTTGAAGATTTCATCTTCTTACTGATTAATGAGAGATAAAATGGAAACAAAAGCTGTGCAGAATAGAAATACAGAGATCAGTGATTAATACTATATTATGCTACGGATATATACCACCAAGTGTAGCTAATTTAATTATTTGGTGTACTTTATCTGTTTCGTGAAATCAATATCGAGTTACAATTTACCTTTAATTAAACTTGAGTTCCGAAGTCATATAATATAATCTTCAATTGGGTGCTCTTCGTTTACAAATGCTATTTTTCTGAGCATGCACAAAGAGTTGATGGGCAGAACAAAATACAATCTTATCAATTCACATCCCATTGTGTCATTGTTTTCTTTTTCCATTGCTAAACGAGACACGTAGATCCCTTGTAAATTATTTGGTCAAAGTTCGTGAATTCTTTATTGTTAAGATAGTTTTTACTTTCGACGTTGTTCAAGTGCAAGCACAAAGTAAAATTTACATCATGTGACTCATACAGTCGCCATAAAAACGCCAAGAAGTCAGTGCGCATGCCCATTCGTTTTTCAAAGCCGTAGCATGTGTAATCTGTTTTTTTTATTTTGACTAAAGATTAGTTCGTATTGAGTTAGTAACTTTTTCAGTGTATAATTTTTTTAAAAAAATATATGTTTGAGTGTACGAAATTTTTATTTTTGTTATTTGAATTAAGTGCATTATTCAAGTTTTATTAAGTTTTCTATTAATTTTTCAACACAGTGAGGTTATGAAATAAATGAAAATGTATTTTCTTAAAATGAGAAACAAACGGAAAAAAAATAGTTTCTATCTTACCTTTTCAATAATAATCAAATATCAGTATGAGAAATTTTAAATCAGTATAACAGTGTATGTACCAACCGTTTCCGAGAAGAGGAAAAAACAAAGAATTGATTTTATACTGTTTGTTTAAACGCAAGGGAATCCATTTATTTATCAAGCCAATCCGAGCTGTAATAGGCCGGACTGAACTCCTCCACGCATTTTATTCTTTTTTATTCATTAAAAGTCCAATGGACCTCTATTAAGCTATATAATGAGAATACATAATTATAAAAGAAATTGAAATTACCATAATTCAAAGCTTATTTTATTGAAAAAACTAAATAAATAGATAACCATTAGACTAAATCTGTTTATATACACACTTTATTCTTTAAAATAGGTATTTATCGTTTATTCTGGCGATCCATCAATTATACCTCACTTTAATACACCCAAAAGAGATGGCCCGTGAGAGTGACAAAAATGTCAAAATACTTACTGACAGACAAATACGAAACCCTCTTGTCTGTACAACAGCGTGTGCATCTATGGTATGTCAACTGAAATCATTCACGGTGATGATGGATGAAGCCCACAAGTCTCCATTTCTCTCTCAGCTGAATGCTTGAAATGACACAGATACCCGTGGATACCTAACAACATATATTAAAATGGGCATGCCATTTGAAGGATGGGGTGAACAAGAAAAGTCCCGTACAGATCATGCGCGCAAGGCAATCCTACAGTGTAACAACTCATCTTTATAAGGTCGGCCACTATTGATAAAACAAAAACTGGCCATGATTTTGGCCTTTTAAATATCATTCTTTAGGTCCACGAGGGCCTTTAGGCTGTGAATCTCGTCAGCTTCAGCGAGTCAACCTAGCTTTAGCACGCGTCAGAGTCACGTTGGCTTGGAGTAGAAATTAATTAACAGAAGGGAACGTTTGAAGAATGAGTCTTAATTTGACGGTTTTAAGTACAGAAAAGATTTTAATTGGTCCATTTCGAGTTTGGCATTGTAGGTTTAGACTTTAGACTCTCTTTTTTTCCGGAAAATTAATTAGAATTGGTCTTTGAACTTTTTATTCTCTTCAGACTTGCTTGTGATGCCTGACCATAGCAACTTCGTTTGCTTGCATGAATCTGCTACCAGAATAAGAATTGACCTTTGCTGAAGAAACATAGTGATTCAAAATTTAAATTATCATATGAAACTTTTAAAATAACTTTATATTATTTTTTTAATTATTTTTTTCAAATAATTTTTTTTATACTTGAAATTTACACAAATCTACTGCTATCTTGTATTTAATTATTTATTTTTTAATAAAAATAAGATTAGTGAAATTTGAATTTGAAAGATTTTGGTTATCACTATCTCATGTTTAATTATTTAATTTTTAATTAAAGAAAATAAGAATTGTGATATTCGAATTGCATATAATTTGATTATTTGATTTTTAATATAAGATAACAAAAATGGTTAGATTCAAATTTAAGAAAGTTTGGTCACCACTATCTTATAATTAATCATTCAATTTTTAATAAAATAAAAAAAGAATTATGGAATTTAAACTCGGAGAGAGCTTGGTAATTAAAACTTTAATACTATGTCAAGAAATTATTTGAATCCAATAACTCAAATTATTAGATAAAGTCTGGTTAATGGTTCTATACTATTTTTTCATAATCTTGAACGTGAAAAACAAGAACTTCTAAATAATTGTTGCTCATTTTAGAAGGTAATATTTTCCCTTGTAACAAGCACAATAGGATAATTTCTTTTGTTTCCTTTTCTTCCTACTACAAGATATATTAAAACAAAATGCAAAAGTGCTGTAACGCTTTTACTGTGGATTAACTGTTCACAGGTTTTGTTTTTTGTTTTTTTTTTTTTTTTGTACTTTTTAAACCCCTCTTTTGGCTTTTATTTTTATTTTAATCCCTGGTTTGTAATATTTTTTTATTTCAGTCATTAACATTTTAAGATATACTAAAACAAAAAGCAAAAGTGCTTTAACGCTTTTACTGTGGATTAACCGTTCACAGGTTTTGGTTTTGTTTTTTTTTTAGGTTTTTTAAACCCCTCTTTTGGCTTTTATTTTTATTTTAGTCCTTTGTTTGTAATTTTTTTTATTTTGGTCATTAACATTTTATTATATTTTATTTTCATCCCTATAATAAATATTTAAATTTTATTATATTTGATTTTTGTCTCTATAATAAATATTAAAATTTTATTGTATTTGATTCTTTCCCTATAATAAATATTTTTTCTAGGCTTTTAGTAAAAATTTATGTTTTTTTTTTCCAATTTTGTAATATGTTTTTAATTTAGTCATTAAAGTTTTATCATATTGGATTTTTATCCTCATTGTACTAAAACTAAATAAAGTTTCACTATCCTAAGCTTTTTTTTTCTTTTCTTTTCTTTTTTTTTTTTGCTTTTAGTTAAACTTTTCTTTCTATTATAATTCCTATTTTGTGATTTTTTTTTCTTTGTTTTAGCTATTGAATTTAGTAGAATTTTATTTTTATTTTAGTCCCTGTTTTGTAATTTTTCTGTATTTTGATCATTAAATTTTTATTATATTTGATTTTTTCCTTACAATGAACTATTTTTTACTTTTAGTAAAAAAATTTTATTATGTTTTAGTTTTTATTTTGTGATCTTATTTTTATTTTTATTATTAAAGTTTTATTATATTTGATTGTTATTCTTTCTACATTGAAATTAAATACAATTTCACTATTTTAAGTTTTTTTTTTTTTGCTTTTAGTAAAAAATATTTTCTGTTTTGGTTCCTATTTTGTGAATTTTTTTTATTTTGGTAATTAAAATTCTATTATATTTTACTTTTGTTCTTACCTTATGTATAGTGAATTTTTTTTTAGTCTTATTGATTATAAGGTTTTTTTTTTTGCTTTGAGTGAAAGTTTGTTTTTTTATTTATTTTGATAATTCTTTTTATGAACTTTACTTTGTTTTGATCATTTAATTTTAATTGTGTGTGATTTTATCTCTCTTTTTTTTTTTTAATCGGATTCTAGATTTGATAAAGCTTTATTGTCTTTTTATTTTGGAGGGTCTCTCTATCTTATTAATAAATTACAAATGAAGAATAAATGGTAAAAATTAATCATTTAAAATTTAAAAAACTACCACATCATCATTTTAATTGTCGGTTATTATACATATTTCTAATAAAATATATGTTTATATCAAACAATATCTAATTAATAACATTATATTACTTAATTTTATAGAGTTTTCGTTTAGCTAACCCCTGCAGAAAAATATGAGATATAGGTTTTGAATTTTTTTCACGTGGTTCTTTTAAATAATTATTTTTAAATTTTAAATTTTGTATTGATAAACACATAAAAATATTGTATAACTCACATGCAAAAACGCGCAGATATATGCTAATGCATATCTATTTATAAAAATACCCATCATATCAAAACATTTAATTCAATTAAAATAATCTTGAACTAGAGTTTTAATAGGACTATGACAAACAGAAAAACACTACTTTTGACTATAATTTAATAGTTGCAGGAGTCACTCTGTTATACACACGCACACGTCTTAAGTTCATCCCTTTGTATTTGTTATGTTTTATGGGTTAACGGTATTAAATCGCTCCGTTAGCTTTACAAGATTGCAACACTTGTCCACTTGTTTTTTTTTTTTTTTTTAATCTTAATCCTATTCATCTACTCTTTTTTATTGAATTTAAATAAATAAAATTTGAAAGAAAAAAATAAAACATATCCTATTATTTTCTCTCAAAAAATAAAAATAAAAATATTTTTTTAATTTTGTTAACTTGAATCAAAAGTGAAAATATAAATTTTTGTGTCGTTTTCGTTGGAGTCTCTTATTGAGATGGAAAAAAAAAACCCCAAAATTTACATATTAAAAAAATTTAACAAAATTTATATTTCTACTTTTGACTAGTCAAATTAAGAAATTTGTTAAATCAAAATAAGTAAATTATAATAGACTATTTTGAGATATTATGAAATTATAAACACCATTCAAAAGCTTTAAAATTTAACTAAAACTATATTTGTGTTTTTTTTTAAATATTTTATTTTATACTCAAAATTTGCTTATTATCATATAAATAAATTTAAACCTATGAAGGATACTTTGAATAAAAAAACATTTTTCTCTTTACTTCCTTTTTTCTAGTTTTTAGAGAGAATTACCAAATATATCTTTATCTTTATTTTTTCAAAATTAGTTCATTTGAATTTGGTAAAAAAAAAAATTAGAATGATGAGATTAAGATGATTTTTTTTTTTTTTGACAAGTATCTTAATTCCGTGAGATTAATGATGTGATTTAACATCGTTAGCTTAAAAATTAACAGAAAAATAAGGTTAAGATAGACATAGATGGGTGAATTTAATATGAAAATTGTAAAGGAATACGATACATATGAAAGAAAGACTAGAGACGCCTACAACCACTAACCCTTTTAACTATTAAATAAAAAAGGATTCATAAAACTATAAGCAATTTTTTTTTTTTACCATGGTATAATTTTAGAACCATACAAAACATATCTTAAAATATAATAATCGATTAGCTTTTATTTACACGAGTAATGTTTATTATTATTATTATTTTTTTTTTTTTTTTGTTACAAAGACGAGGTTTGAATTCGATTAATACCTCTTAAAAGAAAAATAAATATTAATGTCAGTTAAACTATACATCAACTACACGAGTATTATTGTTGTTGATCAATGGAAGCCACAATATTTTTCGTGCTTGTATATGTTCTATTAAATGAAATTCTAATTATTATCTCGTTGGTCCTCAAAAGTGTTGAGAATGGAAATATATAGCACGTAGAATATTCATTTTGACAAAGGCTTTTGTAAAATCTGTAGAGACCTATCAATTTTGGGCACAAACAAGAAATTGACATAGATATATATAACCAAACGTAAATGTACTCTCTTTTTTTTAATTGCCAGACCTCTACACAGGGTACTATAGTTCTACTTCATACAGTTTAATTATTAGTACTTATTTATGTTTTACACCCCTAAATGAGATCCTAGCTTCTAATATCATGGTTTATCACCAAAAAAATTCTCCTGATTGAGTATGTCTTTGATTTATAATGTTGAGTTTATATTTCTTTCGTAAAATGCAATAAATTCATATATATATAAATAACGTCATATAGAATTTGATTACTGATATTAGAATTAAGGTTTTCTGCTGGGTGCTGTGGAGATAGCTTAATTCATTATTATTAATATTACTATTACATGGTATCTTACACTGAAATAAATGAATTTTGTTAAAAGTGAAAAGCGTTGATTGTCGACGACGACATTCTTCGTTTACATTCACTGCAAATAATTCATTCTTTGATAAATCAAGAAGTGGGTTGGCTCCTCAGTATGAATTTGGAGCCAGCCTGGGTTTAATTACATTAGAGTTTTTGTGAGAACAACAATCTCGAAAGACTTTCTTTACAACAATATTCTTCTTAACAATAGATTAATAAATCATGGACGAAGGTGTAAAGATACGGATCATCATTTACTTCTTATTCTCGCAAGGAAGTAACCAACCTTTTATCAAAAAATGATACAGCGTACATGCCAAAAAGTTTCTAAATAAGACTTTTGGCTTTAGCATATTTTGGACGGTGTCATGGGTATATATAGTTGATAGTGGCTAGCTGATAGATATAGTTGTCCTGGAATGGACGATATAATTGATACACTATTCATTATTTATAATTATAGTTATAAGGAGGACAAACGATTACCTGAGGAACAAATTTCTTTTACTGCTAACAAAATGCTCAAGTACGTCTACCAAATTAAAGAGAAGCTCGGATGCAAAAGTTTTCGAGGAAAAGGGAACATAGGCTCCACTTAGCTGTTAAATTTTACTGAGAATTCATAGTTTATTAATACGTGGGCAGTATCACCTCAGCATTGGGATCTCTTACATGGATACATAAACTGATTATTTACGTGATATTGCAACAACTGTAATTGAGGTTTTATTGTGGAAACTAAAAACATTCCCAGTACCAAATTTGTGATACCCTGCAATGAGGAAAGTTTCTTAAAAAGGTCTTCAACTTGTCCCACACCTTTTGAATAACCCAAAATCAGAAGGATCTAAAGAATTCTGGGTCATCTGATTTATAGACTCCCCCTTTTCGGCACTTCCACGTAGAAGACTCTTGCCATTTCTAAACAGGGTTTGCCTATAATATAGTCTCTGTATTTGTCGAATTATTTTAATTGAAAATTTATATTCTTTTTGTATTGATTGATTTTTTTCTCTTTCATAACTCCGTTATAATGTTATTAGTTCATAAATTGATGTAGCATGTCCACTCTTAAATTTATTACACATATTATATGTGAAATTCTAATTAAAAAAAACTCAATCAAAATAATTCAAAAAATACATAATTAGATAATAATTTTCTTAAAGACTACATATTGAATATCATGAAACACATCATATACGGTATGTCATTATCTAAAACTATAAATAATACTTATTAAAAAAATTATAGTAATTGAAAAATAATTAAACACATAAAAAATGAACCTAACATGTAGTTAAAAAAATTACAAATATGTAACATGCAGCTAAAAAAAATTACAAATATATTCATCAAAATACAATAATAATATTGATTAGTAGTTAATTATCTATTTCAAAAAAAAAAAAAGTGCAGTTCCTAGTTTTTTCCCCAAAACAATCTCTTTTTTCACTTTGAATTAGTTAAATATTCAAAAAAATCTACTTTTTATGAAGGATTATATCTATTAACTAGAGGTCTGTGGCTAATCGGTATTGCACATAATCATTTTCTTTTTAATAATTGCATGTTAGGTTTGTATTTTTTTTTTAACTTTTAACTTATTATAATAATTTTATTTTAAAAGACTTCATGATTTTACAATGATGAGGTCTCACATATGATTTTTTTTTTTTTTTTTTTGCATTTAGGATGAGGTTTTAAGAAAAAAACATGAAAATTGAAAAAAAAAAGATTTTGATTAAAGTCTCGTATTTTTTGAATTGTTTAATTAAATTTTTCTATTAGAATTTTCACATATTGTTACATATTTTGAAATAAAAGTACCATCAATTTGCCAACTAATGTCGTTATTAAGAAGTAATGGAAACACAACAAGGTAAAAATAAAGGAACTCGCTCGATAGAATAAAAAATACAAGATTTCAGTTAATTTGAAAATTAGAAAAACCATATACAAGGAAAACTCATTTCTATACAAGTTCTGAATTGCAATTACCAATATTTAATAATCCCCTTAACCATATATATTTGGATACATCAGTCTGTTGGGACGGAGAAAAATGAACTCCAATGTGGGTCCAGCATCTACCGGATCCCAGCTCTTCTTTTCTATTTGTAGCATATAAAAGTTTACTTACAGACACTTGACCACGAGGACCGATCTTTACTTGAGTTCACTAAAACACCCCTCGAGTCCTAAGTAAGTGCCTAAAAAGTTGTCGTTTCGATTGGCTGGTCAACTGTCAAGGATGTTTCCTATTGAAGTGTGTTGTTAGCATGCCATGACATCCATGCTAGCTTAGAAATGGAAAGGGTAGTACGGTAATCACATGAGGGTACAATTGTAATTGTGGAAGAGTTTCCTAAATTGGACGTAAATGACGACAGATGGAGCAGGTCTACAAGAAACCCCCAACCTTACGATAAAAAAAACACAAACAATAGGTCGATTATCATTCATGTGCATGTATGCTTAAATTTGACATGTATGAATGGTATGATGATGATGTTTAGTATGTGTCATGGCGTGAGCATGTTCTGTGTCACGTGTTACGTGAAATTTGACGGAAAGAGCACCGTTATTGAAAGAAAAAGGCATAACGGCCGTTTAAAGCTAATATCAGCGCAGCTGACAGTTGGAACCTGGCCCTCGAGGGGTTTAAAAGAAGATTCTCTCTCTTCTCTTCTGTATTATATAATTATACAAGCATGAAATAATATAATAATAGGAGTGTGTTTTGATGTACGATTCAGTATATCCCTATCTACCATCTTAAACTGCATAGCCGATGAAATTTCGAAAGCAGTTCTCCTCAAGCCATGTTTTTCAATTTTAGTTCGAAAGAAAACGTTATTTTATTCAATGGCTGCATCCCGACTAATTTAAGGTTGTTTTTTCTTTTTTCCTTTTTTTCCTGTAATCATGTTGTGATGGGATCACATCCGACAAATCACATCCAACGTAGGTGAAATGGTGAAATCAGAATTTATAAGTTTCAATTTACACCATAACTTTTTTTTAACGGTATTGCACCATAATTATTATGGATTCCCAAAATATCATTTTATTAAAAAACTTAATTTATTAGGTAAAGTATAAATTATGATTTACATTATTTTTAAATATATTTCTTAAATGAAAGCCAAAATATTTGAGATTGAAACTTACATAACTAAATTATGATATCATGTCAAATGATCATTTTATAAATAAATTTAAATTGCTAAATAAAATTCAATATATGATTTATATTACCATTTAACATGGATGAGTTCATTGTTAACTAAAAGAATTATCATGTCACCATAAATGTGAAATCTCTATCTAGATTTGGATCGAAGGGAAATAAAAGTTGAGAATAGTTGGAAAAATAATGGCTACGAACCGATAAAATGTTTGTGATTTTAAAGCAAGAAATATGTATATCTTTAACAATGATATTTGCCTTTGTTACAATTTACAAATGAAGTTGAATGAGAAATGTACTTTTCCAACAAAAACAAAACAGCCATATATCACTTTATTTATTTATTTTTATAAATGACGTTTTCATTAATATATGGTAAAATAAGATGTTATTTTATTAATTCACATTGTTCTTTTTAATCTAATTTTTCTAAGAATATAATACATAATAGTTACAGAATACACCATTCAATCTATTTCGTCTTTCTGATTAAAAAAAATACATTAAATATATTCAGTTGAGTTTTTTTATAACTCTTATCAAATACACCTCAGCATCTAATTGCTAAACATGCCTTAATATTCTTTTTTTTAAAAAAGAATTCAGATGATTGTTTTTTAAATTAACGGCAGAATGCTTTTTCTCACAAACATTTGATTATGAAAAATTGAACGCGAGCTATACTGGTGAAACACTCAAACAGATACTTTTAAACAAAAAGCTCCCATTTTTCTATTATTTGATATATCCTCTCAACAATTTATATTACATATAATTTGAACGATTTTTTCTAAGTGGATCTCCTTTACCCTATGCAAGAAACGTGAGTGTGAAGGTGCAGCTGTGCTTGACTCATGTACGTTTGTGTGTGTCTTTGGAAAAAATAAAAAAAGTGTACGTGTGTCCCACACAACAGCTTAGGCATGCGTATTTGGGCATCCCGGTGCACGGTAAGAGCACTCCTCGTATCAAATTCGAGGATTCACCCTAGTCTTGTAGCTCGCGACACATTAGAGCAACACACACATATACTATATATATATATATATATATATATATATATCGTGACAGAAAAATAAATTTAGTAAATTGTTTTCATGTTTTTACATGCTGGGAGTACTATCTCATTAATTGATGTTCTTGTCACCGAAGTATGTTATGAACGGTGATGATGGAAGCCAGCCTGGGCTTAATAAGTTTCGAATTTTTTTTTCTGAAAAAATAATCTACGTGAACTCATCAGTCAATACTACTTCTTTGGGTATTTTTTATTTATTTATTGGTTCTTTTACCTTGATATTTCATGCTACATAGTATTCCATTCTGTGATCCTTGAAAAGACTTTCCTCCGCTTAAAGCATATAAAATTCTTCTGTCAGTCAAGATTTGACATGGTTGGCATTTCAATTGGAAAGTTGAGGTGGCATTAACCCTGAGAAAATTATAAATTACTATAGTTTTTCTAACAACTAATTAATTAATTTTTATATATTTAAATTTATTTATAACTTATTTTAAAAAAATAAAAAATGGAAATATTGCTAATATTTTTTTGAAAATATAATAATATTAAATTAACCATTATTAATATTGGTTAGAAAATTATTAATTAATTTTTAAAACAAAATCGATTGCTTAATTTATTTTGTAAAAAAATTGTTTAATTTATTTTGTAAAAGTAGAGTCATTAATTTATAATTTAGTCGTTCTAACGCTTGTTCTAATAAAGAATTTTTTTTTTGGAACTAAGATTCCCGTTCCAGAATGGCATTTATATGCACTTACGTGTTGTTCTTTTGATTATTTTTCTCTTCAGACAATAAGACACGTATTCTAATGTTCACACATTTTCCTTAGCTTTTTATTTTTTATTTCATTTTTTCGTTTGTCTTCAGCGAAAAGACTTTGGACTGATCTTCTTTTATTAATCGAGTTGACTTCAGCTATTGATTGCAGAGTAGTTAAACATACAAAAAGTTACATAAAAAAAGTATCACGTTTTGTAATTTTGTTATAGCTATTTGCAAAAGGAGGAAAAAAAAAAACGTGTTTACTGAATGTATAAACAAAAATAAAATAATTGTTAGAAAACTTTATTATGCAAAAGTATGATGCAATTCACACTCCTTTTAATCTTGAGAAATTATATATATATATATATATATATATATATTTATAAAAAAACTGATTTTTTTAACAACTTTCGATGAATACGAATGAATTTTAAAATAAAAGTTTCCAACCTCTGAAGAATGCATAAACCTTATGATCAAGGTAAAAATTCATATCTCACAAAAATAAAAATCATTTATAAATTTTATGATCATGTAAAAGAAGAAAATATAATTCTCAATATCAATAATTCATATCCTTGTAAAATATTTTCAAATTCTTAATTAAACTACGAAATAGTCTCAGTAAGTTATTTACTTTATCCGGAAAGATAATTTCACCCATTTGTGCTGTAAAAATTTAAAATTGTCGTACATATAGCAACTCCTCTGCTTTAATTGGTCCATGTGTTTGGTGAAAGTTGCGTTGTTTGTTGCTGGAACATTTGTAAGAAGAAGAAAAGGAAGAAAGAGAGTCGAGCGAGCGAGTCCCAATTACCGTCTACTTATGTTTGAGGTTTTGCTAAATGCTTAGAGGCCCGGCTAAACATTATTGCGATGGAGCATAATTTAGCAGCTTAGCATCTAGGCCCAGACCTAAAGTAACTTACAAACTGGTTGCGTTGAGCCAGAAGACAACCCAGTAGAGGCTTTCAAACTTCAGACCCATCAAGGCAAACTGTTAACTAGGCCCGTGCTGGGTCAAGTCCATGTTCATAACTCAAGCTCAGATCAAACCTCTCAAATCCAAAACTGTGTGTTTGATTACGGAAAACCCCCCTAAGATGGTCTATGGTTTTGTATCAATTCAACAAATTAATCCAAATAAAAACAATTAAACAAATTTTATTTTATATTTATTAAATTTAACTCAATTCAGCACAACGAGATTAAATTATAAGATTACTATCAATTTGAACTTTTGAAAATGCTTAAGAAATAAACAACATTAATTATTTTAAAAAATACTGAACGAATAAAGAATTAATAAATAAAAAAATTCAAAGGTAGTCCTTCGTTAAAATTATTTAAAATGTTTAAGAAATAAAATAGTTTTTTTTTTTTAAAAAAAAAACTTAATCAATGTGTAACCGCAACTATATAGGCTCCTGTGCACTATTTATTACTTGAAGGTGAATATAACGGCCAACCGAAATATCAAAGCTTTTACGAGATGACTGATTGATTGGCTATATATGTATATATGTTCATGCATAACAAGGTTATTGTCCAATATATTTTTATTTTTTTAGTTGAGTCGATTATATTCTTGTAAAATAAATAAGTTTCTAATTTGTCTTTCTTATGACATTTACTGGCCAGCTATCAAAATTAAACACATAAAAATACATGACTTAATATTATATTGAAAAATATCTCGAAGTAAAAGAAAAAATTAACTCAATTTATCCTTATATTTTAGGCTTAATATTCAATCTATCACCAAAAGTCTAATTGCTGCTCTCGCTTTGTGCTTGTATTTTGTATCATTCTCTATTTACCAATACTGTAGATAAATCTATACAGACTAAAGAAAATAAAAAAAATGCCATTTAAGTGCCAGTTTTTTATTTTTATTTTGTTTGATGTCTAACCTTTTATTCTATCTATTTGAGTGTTTTTTTTTTTTTTTCATTTTGAGTTTCCTTCGACAACTAACTTGAAAATAATTCCAGCATGGTTGGGATCAACTTACACGTGCAAAAAAATAAGTCCCATTCATATTTATTGAGAAAAAAAAATTAAAAATAAACCATAAAACAAAACATGTTCCATAAATCAGAAAAAAAAAAGGAATTTAAACAGCTTATAAAAAATTAAAAATAAGAATTTGAATTGGAAGGGAAACTCTATTCTCGATTTTCTTTTTCTTTTTTCAATTTCTGGCACAGATTTTTTTTTATATCTCTATATAAATACAAGTAACATTTTTTTTTTGTCACGTATTAGTTAATTTTGACCATGTTATTATTTTAAAAAATCGGACAGATGGAACTCAAATGAAAACAAAAAAAATCCAAAGTTTGACACTCAAATAAACAAAATACATAAAAGGTTAGATATTCAAATAGAACAAAAATCAAAAGTTGAACATTCAAACTGTAGTTTTCTCTAATGAAAATATCATCAATTCAGAGACTCAAACCCCCGTTTAATAAAAAAAAATTGAAAAGAAAACAAATTGTCATGTAGTGTATTTATTTGTTTGTAATAAATTAGGTTAAGTTTGAGTTTCTTATATGATGATATTTTCATCAATTTAGACTAGAATATATAATAAAAGGAAAAATTGAAAAATAACACTACATGCATAGATAATGATAGATATTAAACGTTTAAGGTAGATCAGAGGCTAAGCTTAAAATACGAAGAAAGATGGGGTAATTCTTGTTTCCTTCAGGATTAGTTTTATATACTATTAAATCATATGCCTAATATTATGCGAATGGTTTTGATGGTTTGATCGAAAAATATCATTAGAAAAACACATAAAAAACTTATTCATTCTGCACTGATGTACTCGACTTAATTAAGGACATAAGAATAGATTAGAAAAATACCTTCAACTGCGTTGTAGTTTTAACCTAAAGCTCTATTACTTTTTTCGACAATATATTTGTGTAATTTGGTTAAAAACTTGGTCTATCACATCATCTATCAGTCTCAATAAAAACAAGACATATACTAAATCAGATGATGACCATTATTTTTTATCCATGTATCTTGTTTTTATTTATATAGCCTACGGCTAATGTGATAAGCTATCTCTATCTTACAATTTCTTATAATTCTCATCGTTACGGAAGCTAAACAAAAATTTTCTGATCTTCACAAAAGAAAAGGGCAGTCCCGTAATTTAAAGTCAAATAAAAGGCCTGGACGGTTATATTAGCGACAAAGCATGATTTGCCAACCGCAGTTTTAATGGTGATTTTGTACCCAATCTATTACAATTTGATAATTTTAAATTTATAGTATCATATTTTGTAATTTAAATTCTCAAAAATTAAAAATTGAGTAAAATTAATTTAATTATCCTAATTGATATTAAATATAACGGTCAACTACACGTTTAAGCAAAGAAGAAAATAATGTATTTTTTAAAGTTGTGCTTATAGCAGTCTGCCAAGAGCATCAATTTTATCCTTGCTGGATCCCCCTCCTCCACTACCGCTGCCGCCGCCTCTTGATCTCTCTATTGCCTTGCCTCTCCAAAGCTCTATTTCTACATGACTAATTTTTAAATCTATTTTTCCTGCTTAATAATCTTAAATAGTACTGTGTTATTATATATGTATATATATATATATATATATATATATATTTTTTTAAATGTCGTACTCTAATTTTCAAATCTATTTTTCCTGCTTAATAATCTTGAATAGTACTGTGTTATTATATATATATATATATACCCAGTTTTTTCTTGCCGATTCTGCCCCCTCATACTTTGTATTGGCAATAGATTAGCCTCTGGCCCTTTCATACTCCTTGTTTCGCTCCAATCCTGAGAATACGTATTTGAGCTTTTAGCATACTGGATCTCTTTTACGGGCCGATCTATCAGGGCCCAATGGACCTTGTACGAGAACCTGGGATGCTTCCATTGAATTGCTCCCAAAAATCCTCTCACAAACGCACAAACTAATTCACAATGTCAGCAAAACTTTTTAACCATTCAGATGGAAACTAATACCGACTAGAGCTAGAACCTCGAGCGATATTTGGGGAACCAGAGTGGCTTCATGAAGAGCCAGAACTTCCAATAATACTCGAAGAACTAGTTCCTCCAGAAGCTAACAGAACCTGTGGAGCATGTAGAGCCAGAATCTTCTTATAACGAAAGAAATCTACAAAGTAAATTACTAGATTTCTTTTGTTTTTCTTTATGCGTTTTCAAAGATTTAGTGGGTTTAAATTTGCAATGAGTCCTATTAAAAGGCAAGCACAAGTATGGCGGAACAGGATTTTTTTTTTTTTTTTTTTTTGCGGTACATATTATAAAAACTATAAGGATCAAACTTAAAAACTAAAAAAGCAAATATGTTATTAATATAAGTGTTGATGAGTGGATTCGATCAAATCATAATATATTCAGCTTTAATTTATTTAATAAACAGATAAAACGTGATCTTATTGATTCAAATTGAATTTTTAATTATTTATTTAGATCCGAATCTTAATAGATTTGGATCGAAATTGAATGTTTATCGAATTTATCATTTAAATTTAAAAATATATATATATATATATTGGTTATGTTCAAAATCATACTTCTACGTGAAATGAACCACTGCATGTATAAGAAAACATGTAATGATAATACTTCATGTGTCAATTTTTTTTAATAAAAAAATCAAAAAGTTTAGTTATTAAAAAGAACACAAACAATCCTAACAAAATTAATTTAACTTATGCAAGAATTATGACATAGCTAAAAGAAAATAATAAAATATATAATCTAGACACAATTTTACTGATATTGACAAAATTCTAGTTTTTTTACAAAGATAAACTTGAAAAGGACAAGCATTTCAGTTTTTTTTTTTTTCAATTTTTTCAATTTTTTTTCTTTTTTTAAGTTCACATGTTTTGTTGGTTTTTTTTCTAAGTTTTTTTGTGCTCTTAAAAATATTTTTAAAGTATTTTTTTTCTATTTTTATAAGGTTTTCAAATGGTTGTGGGATATTTTAGTCTAAAAAGTGACAAAAAACATATAGGAGAAAACAAAATATATAAAAAAATTGGAGGGAGAAATTTTGAAAAGAGAATATGAAAAAATACACCTAATATACAAAGATATATGGATTAATTAACTAAAAAAAGAGCATAAGTATGGAAAGCTATTTAGCATTTAAAGTAAATAAACCCTAAATATAAATATAATGTCATAGTTTTTTTTTCTTATATATATACATTGTTTCAAAATATTATATTTACTAAAAATACCATCAATTTAAAATCGAATTATGATTGGATCAGACCAAAATATTTATATATTTGATCCATTTAATAAAGAAGTTGATGGATTTGAATCATAATCAAACTCGAATTATAAAAATGATATATTGAATCCATTTACTTGCATTAAAATGGAATTGAATTTAGATCAAAATTTGATCAATTAACAACTTTAGTTATTAGAGGACATGACCCCTGTAATTACAAAAAAAACTAAACTAAAACGATTTGTTACTATTCATTATACTATTTAAAGTGTTGTTCATCCATAATTGTTTGCACTATTCACTCGGACTCATATACGCTATTTCTTTCACTATGTAGTGGTATTTTTATCGTTTTCAAACATTTGTAAGACATTTATTAGGAAAGTTTTCATAATATTACACTTTAATCCCTTTTTTAAATATATTTTTTTTAGTTCACAAATATTTTTTATTTAATTTTGGTCTCACTTTTTTGTTTCATTTTAGTTACTTTGGTCCTTGCTTTTTTTTGTCTCTTATTTTTTTAATTTAAAATTTTAAGGCAAAAAGATATTTAGAAAAAAATAATTTACAAAATAAGGTTTTAGTTAAAAATGTGGATATAGATAAATAAATAATATTTTGTAATAAAACAATTATGAAAATATAAAGAATAATTTGTAAAATAAAAAATTTTGACTTAAAAATGATAAAATTGAAAGAATTTTTATTCATTTTTGATTAGATATATTTTGGGAGATGCACAATATAACACGAGATATCAAAATGTAATAATTTTTTAAAAATAATTTTATGTATTTTATCCGATCCGTAGCATAATACATATTAAAAAAAATAGTGCGTAACTAGAATAAAAAAAATAAAATCAAGGAACAGTTACTTGGCTGTAAAACTTTAGGGCTGTCATGGCTATATTAGCGTGGCCCCACCAATGCATCAGTATTATATAAAAAAAAATTAAATTTTAAGGACCAAGTTACAAGATTTAAAACTTTAGGGGTATCCTGGCTCTATTGATTTTGTTGGTTCCTGCTTCGGTGCTTCCCATATTATCGTGTTAACATGCGATTTAAATTAACGCCATTCGATATATCTCCCTGGTTATAACCTAAAAGGCACAATATGGATTAGTTATCACCTGCCACTGCCTGCTGAGACTAGGTAATTGCACCTGCCCATGCTAGAATAATTTCAGTAGCAATGTGGCCGTTTCGGTTCCTAATAGTTTGTCGAGGAAAGAATTTCTTCCGTCATATAATTTTGCCTGCACGACATATATTGAGCGGCCGTTTCGGTTCCTAACCCAAAGCAATTCCATTTTTGGCAAGCGAAATCGACATTTTGAAAAATCTGTAGACATTTTAATGTTTATTATAATTGACCTCTGATGTCCTACCAAACATTTCAAAGGGGCCGAAAAATTATGCTGTCTAGACTCTAGACCATGTTTTTTTGTGAGCATTTTTCTCAATTAATGTATACAAGCGCAGCTGCGCGAAGGTCCTTTCCCACACCAGTTTACTAGGAAATGACTCATGTAAGAGGGAAAATTGCAAACTTGTAGTTCATGCAAGTTTTGGGACCATTGTGTGTTGCATCCAAAAGGATTGATAGAATGTGATTGAGAGGTACGGACTCAGGCCACACTAGCACCCATCAAAAGACCCACGTATAGCATCCTCCATTTTGCTTGTCTCGTAGTAACTAATCCATTATACACGCTATACTATGAGTTTGATAAAATAAAATTATTTTAAAATTTAAAATTTTTTTAATGATAAGTTTTTATTAATTAATTTTTTTCACAAATTTATTGCTTAAGAAAAATATAAATTATTCTTCTTCATTAATTGATTTTAAAATAAAATATTATAATAATTTTAATTAAAACATTAATCAAGAATTAAAAAAAACTTTAAAAATATATTTTTCATAATATAGTATTTCAAAAAATAAAGTTAAAATTAATGGTAAGACTTTTATAAAAATTAACAAATGAAAAAAAAATCTTATTTAATGTTGATGAGAAGATTAATTTTAAAATTAATCGCGCAACGTCGTGGGCCCAAAAAACAAAATTATTTCAAAATTTTACAAAATTTTCATTAATTTTATTATTTAATTATTACTATTTTTTATGTTTTTCATGAAATTTCTGCTTAAAAAAACATGATTTATTCTTTTTTATTCATGAATTTTTAAATAAAAACTTCTAATAATTTAAACCTAAAATATTAATTAAAAATTCAAAACCAAATAATTTTAAAATATTTTTTTATAAGGATATATCTAAAAAATAAAGTTACAATTAATGTATAGATTAGCATAAAAATTAACTAATGAAAAAAATAAAATTTTATTCTTATTTAATGATGGTGAAAAGATTATTTTTTAAAAGTATATGCATTTGATCTTTATATATTTATTTACAAAATAATAAATAAAATTAGCATAAAAAATGTATTTGAATAATTAGTTGATTTCTTTAAAAAATTATTTTAATTATTTTATTTCAAATAAATTGATTCTATAATATTAAAAAAATATTCATAGCAAATAATTTGTATTATGTTGGAAGATATATAGTTAAATTTTAATAAAAACAATGATTCAATAGTTCTTTTTTATATGTCTTGACCATACCTAGTGAACTGAAGTAAATGATTTAAAATACACTTTTAACCTCATAGAATTAAATAATTATATATTTATATGTACGCAACTATCATTCAAAAATTCTAAGAATTCATGATTGATATATATATATATATATATATATATATATATATATATATATATTATCAATTTATTTTTTGATAAGAAAAAACAATCATGTTTTAAAATTTTATTCTAAAATTCAAACATAGAGAAAAATAAATTATACTTATTAGTAAATAAAATTTTATATAAAACATATTAATTGGATGAGAATTTTCATAAAAAATAATAAATTCAAGGAATGAAATTTAAATAATAAGAGTAATATAAGCAAAAATATATGTTAATTTTTTAAAAAATATATTTATACATATATACACACACGATGCGTGAAAACGAAAAAAAAAATGAAAGTTGAGGATTGAAAAAAATGCTACAACATGAGGGACGAAAAATAGAAATAAGTGTTAAATTTGCATATTAATGCCCAAAAACACACAAAAAATTACTTAAATTGCCATCAAGTAAATAGTAATTTTATGCATATAGAATTAAATAATTATATATTTATATATATGCAACTATCATTCAAAAATTCTAAGAATTCATGATTGATATATATATATATATATAATCAATTTATTTTTTGATAAGAAAAAACAATCATGTTTTAAAATTTTATTCTAAAATTCAAACATAGAGAAAAATAAATTATACTTATTAGTAAATAAAATTTTATATAAAACATATTAATTGAATGAGAATTTTCATAAAAAATAATAAATTCAAGGAATGAAATTTAAATAATAAGAGTAATATAAGCGAAAATATATTTTAATTTTTTTAAAAATATATTTATACATATATACACACACGATGCGTGAAAACGAAAAAAAAAATGAAAGTTGAGGATTGAAAACAATGCTACAACATGAGGGACGAAAAATAGGAAAAAATGTTAAATTTGCATATTAATGCTCAAAAACACACAAAAAAGTGAAAAAAACACACACAAAAAATTACTTAAATTGCCATTAAGTAAATAGTAATTTTATGCATATGAAATGTAAGTAAATCAAAATTTTAGGGATATGAACAATCCGGTTCCCACACTATGTTGCAGATCAAACTAAACATATTTATTTCAGTTTAATAACATATACTATTTTCTCGATTAATTAAAATATATTAAATTAAATATGAAAGATAAAATTTCATTTCATTTTATAATTTTTAATCACAATTTTGTATCTATATGTGTTTTTTTTTTATGTTTTGAATAAATTTTGAAGTAACAAAAAAAATATGATTTGTTCTTTCTTATACATTTATTCTTAAATAAAAACCCACAATAAAAAATTTTTAATATAAATTTTGAAAAAAGCGTCTTAATATTTTTTTCATAACATTGCATCGAAGAAATAAAACAGTAATTAATATAAAAACTTGTATAAAAATTAACAAATGGAGCTTTTTTACCGATGAGAAGATTATTTTTTTAAAATATGTATATCTGATTTATATATATTTATTTACAAAATAATGAATAATGTTAGTATACAAATCATATTTGAATTATTAGACGGTTATTCTAAAATATTATTTTATTTAAAAAAATTAATTTTAAAATATTAAAAAATAATAGCAAATAGTTAGTATTGTGTGTATAGATGCATGGTTGATTTTTAATAAAATCAATGACTCTAATTTTATTATTTTTATACATCATGACCTTACTCAATGAGTGAAAATATATAGCATAAATTAAAAAATATTTTAAAAAATAAATTATAAAATATATATTAAAGTTAATAGAGTGCAATAAAAATATAAAATTGATTTCGATAAAATTTAATTATATAAAGAATAAGAAAATAAAATATATACATTCAATTTTCAAAATTTGATTATATAAGAATTAAAAAAATAAAAACAGGTATAAAAAAAATTATTCAAATCCATACATAGAGAAAATAAATCATATTAATTAATAAATAAAATTATATAAGAATAAGAATAAAAATTAACTTGATGTGAATTTTTATAATAAATCAAAAAGATCAATTTTAAACAATAAGAGTAGTATATATTTATTCTAAAATCTAAAAACATATTGTATATATTATATAATTGTCGGTTTGTGTGAAAAGAAATAATGATTGATTTTTCAAAATTTTAACACTCATATTAAATAATAAAAAAAGAACATAAATTGATGAAAAAAATCAAAGGAAAAAAACAAAAAAAAAGCATGTGTAATGCATCAATTTGGGGATTAAAATTTTTATTTTAGAAATTTTAGGGATTAAAATGAAACAATTTAGAAATTAAAAAAGAAGAAGAGTGAATATTGCTTTGTGAAGGGGTGAACAATGAAACTCACTCGTTCAAACGACCCGCATCTTTTAGTTATATAGTAATACTAGTTGTATACCCACTTTACACCGTGATGAGATAACTATTACATATATGGAATTACCGATTTGTATGGTGTGATATAGACAAAAGTTTTATTTTTAATAATTAAGGTAAATTGAATCTATTTATTAAGCAAAATTGTATGATACATATATATTTGTTAACAAAATAATTAATAATATTAGTATAAAAATTGGTATTTGAATAATTGAGAAGTTCTTTTAAAATATTGTTTTATTAAAAAAAACAAAATTTTACAACATGAAAAAAATAAAATAACAAATAATTAACATCATGTGTGCAGATACATAATTAATTTTCAATAAAACTAATGATTCAAACATATATATATATATATAATACTTAGCAAACTCAAAATATATAGCATAAATAAATAAAAATATACAAAAAAAACCTAAATTAAAAAATAAAATATATTGAAGTCAATAAATTAAAATAAAAACTATTACAAGATCGGTTCAATAAATTTTGATTATATATATATATATATATAAAGCAAATAAAATTCATGAAATTTTTTAATTGATTATTGATTTTTTTTAAAAATCATGTCATATTATCTAAAAACACATATCATATTTAGCGGACGCAAAGTATATAGCATAATACTTTATTTTAAAAACCTAAATTAAAATATAAAATATATTGAAGTCAATAAATTAAAATAAAAACTATTACAAGATCGGTTCAATAAATTTTGATTATATATATATATATATATATATATATATATATATATATATATACACACAAAAAAAATCCACCTAAATTGAAAAATGAAATATATTGAAGTCAATAGATTAAAATAAAAAATATTATAAAATTATTTCGATAAATTGACAAATGAAATATACTGAAGTCATTATTGACAAACTCATTTCTCCAAAATAAAAAAAAATCTAATGGAATGTTGCTAGTCAAAGTGGTCGAAATAAGTTTAGTTAGCGCTCTCTCTCTCTCTCTTTTTCTCTCTCCTTTCTACAACTAGAGATCAAAATGTATCCCAAATGAAATTATAGATTGAAATAAAAATTTTGAAAATATCAAGGATTGAAGTATAAAGGTTGTAGAATTTTCTTATTATTGCCCAAAAAAGTTAAAAAATCACTAAAAAAACCAGACTCTCATTCACAGTGCTGATGAGTCTCCGCCGTAGCAAATGAATAGCGATAACTATTGAAGTATCCTGATTCTCTTATTTTTGTTTATAATAATCATCATCTAAGTTGGCTTTGTCATTAGTTGGGGAGCAAAAATACAAGAGAATTTAGAAGAAAACTTGGAAACAAAGACTCCTAACGAGTGATCAAACTTGCGGTAACACGAGGCGAGTTAAGTAAACTAGAGGAAGTTCCCGAGTATTAGAAAGCTTGCACATTGAAATCATCTACACCTGTTCAACATGGGATCCATTGGAAACCAATTGCTTCTCTTGGTAGACTTTTCCGGGACCAATCTCTAAGGCATGAGCAGAGATGGGCTTCTTGGCTTCTCCCTTGTTGTTGCGGTAGATGAAGTACAAGATCAGCTGTAATGCCCCAAGACCACAGCCAACTCCATTTGGGACCTGTAATAAATGAATGGCACCACAAACATATTTTCCATCAAAATAAAACCATGAGATTTTTGATTTTGTGTTCACCACATTGAACCCAATTATGGGGCACCAATGTGCTAGCTAGTCTAACGTGAGTAATTTGACGACGGATAATTGAAGAACTTACAGCAACAAAAGGGTCACTACCAAGTAGACCAAAGACAAACCAGGATGTACCACATAAGAAAACAAACAGTGACAAGAAGAATGGCATGTACTCCACGCTCTTAGTTTTTATCACTGTCCTCTGCAAGTATAAACAAAATCATATATTATAATTAGCCAACAAAAAATAAAAAAAGGCACTGTATAACCTATATATAATAAACTTCATAAAAAAAAACTAGTATAAAGGGTAAATATTACATTGATATCTTGTATAATATCATTTTATCCACTACATATGTTGTATCTCCCATTCCATAGGAGAAAACGATGAACATATTATCAACAGTCGATCCTGATGGTTTATTACATTATAATATTACTTATAGATCCTGTACAATCCTATATCATTGAAATTCTTTTTCTCTTTTTCTCTCATCTTTTATTTATCTACATAATTTTTTATTTTGCTTTATAATTTATAATCGGATTGGTATTTAGTTTATTTATGAAAAAAAAAAAAGATTCTAATCGAAATGACCGATATAGTTTAATGTTTCCTGGTGAAAGCAGCCCATGTCCTAGACTACAAAAGGTCAACAGTAAATGGCATGTACAGGTCAAAAACTATAACATATAAAAAGGTTGTCAAATTAGAATCACAAGGAATATGATTCTCATTAATCCGCTAGGAATTCTTGCACTGGTGTCGCAAGGAAAAAAATTACAAGTTGGATCTAATGCATCAAGGAACTTTAGGTACGATGACACAACTAATTAAACGGTGCTAAATGCAAATAAAAATAAGGGTAAAGACATAGTAATCTTACAAAAAAGCAAAAAGAACTTGTTATTAATTGACAGAGCCAGACCAGGGTACTCTGAAATATAGGAGTATTGAGTAGTAGCTACTCCCGGATGACCTTATAAAAGGGCCTCGCCGATCAGAGCTCAAATGAACCCCATTACCCATTGATTTAATAATCTAAAACAAACCGGCTGGAGCCAATTCAATCTGGATCCAGGGTTGACAGAGCTACTTACACAAGAGAGGAACTACAAATAAAGAGTGAAAAACTAGGAGTAATTTGACTTACCATAATAGACAGAGGGGAGCCATACATGATAATTGAGAAAACAGCAGCAGCACAACCACAGAATAGCTTCCTGGCGTTGCCATGAAGAGCGACAAGGGACACCAAGGCCACGACAGCAAAAATAGTGAGCACAAGCGTGAGGAGGCCAAGGATTTTAGCCTTCTCCTTCTTTGGTGCATAGATGATGAAGATCAACACGTAAATGATTTCAATAACCGAACCAGCTCCATTTACCGTTGACACCAAAATATTGTTCTTAGACACAAAAGGCAGTCCATACCTGCCCCGAAGTATAAAATCGACAATCAACTGATAGTGATTAGACAAAATGCATGGACCCCAAAAAAAGGAAGAAGATGCACATATCCAAATGAACATGCAAAAACTCAAGTTGATTTAACAAACTTAATGGAACTTAATCAGCTAAATCATCAATTAAAATATATAAAAACAGCACCACTGTTTGTTCGTTGTGTCCAACATATACCAAAAAAGAGTAAGTTAAGCCGCAAAACAGTAACAGATTAGAAAATAACACATCAGAAAAAATAAAAATAAAAATCATAGCACCGAATTACATCTTCTTGGATTGAGTTCAAATGGTATATAGTTTGAGGATGTACCAAAGATGGCTAGAGTTTTTGCCTTTTGGGCTATTTTTTATGACAATCAAAAGCAGCTCATATTAGCAATTAGTTTACAAGATTACCCTTGTAGAGGTAAACAGAAATACAATTCAAGGAATTGTAATATAGCACTGTTTGGAAGGATAAAAAGGAAAGAGAAAATAAGTAGTTGAAGAAACGAGAAGCACACACCAGGCCGAAAGGAGGCAGTTGAGCAAGGTCATCACATACGGAATGCCAGAGAACTGCTCTGTGGACTTGCTTTTTATGATCCTCTTGAACGTGATCCTATCAACAAATTATCCATAATCTACGTTAAATTTAGGTTAATCTAACAAAATTTGGCAAGTTCTCATTTAATGATAATTGAATCTTGGTCACCCAAATACAGAAATACACGAAAGAAAGTGGTAAAACTACTCATTAAATAGCAACCCCAAACTGCAAAGGAAAACTAGATAGAAGAGCTAAGTAGTTAAAGATCATAGGAAAAGTAGAGTGGGTTTAGAAGAGAATCATTTTTCAAGAAAACAGCTGGAAGAAGAAGAAATTTAATTATGACTCCAAAGGAATTTGTATAACAAGAGAGAAAGATAGTCTTCTTCTCTTTTTTCACGGACTAAAAACAACCATTAGAAGCTACAAAGCAGAGTTGTCAAAACCAAGAAATTCCATAAATGTTAATCAGGTGTAGCTGTGCATATCTGTGCTAGTGTTTAAGAGAGAAGAGAGAGAGAGAGAGAGAGAGAGAGAGAGAGAGAGAGAGCTAATGAACGATTCAGGTGCGTACGTTGGAGCCAAGAAGAGAAACAAAGCAGTGGCATTTCCTGTTACAGAGGAGAAACAAACAGAGATAAACCATCAATAAACAGAGAGAAACCATTAATAAATCCCCTCAAAAAAATCAAGAACAGAAAACAACTTCTTCAAGAAACAAGAAGAAGAAGAAAGAAAACCAAGTGCAAAAGAAAGTTGATCGATGAATTAAAAGAACCCACCAAAAACTCCAAATAAGAAATGCGGGACATTCATTATATTCAACCTTGGAAACCTTAATTATCTAAACTATGAAAGAAGAAAAGTACTCAAAGAGAAGAATTGTTAGGAAATGGAAATGATATATGTAGAGCAAGCTAGAAGCAATTGGTTTATATAGAATTGAAGCAAGAAAGTAACAGTTTGGTAGGCAGTAAAATTTTTGGCTCCGTAGCCCGTTCTTATCTATTTGCTTGGTTACTGGCTTACCGACTGGGGAAATACTGTGTCCTAATTAACTGACATAATATGGTGCTTTACGTATGGATGGGGAACGTGATGTGAGCTGGGTTAAAAAGTTGTTACGCAAAAATAAAACAAATAAAACTTTATTATTTTTTCTTTTTTTGGAATTCGAGTTTATTCCTCTCTTTATTACGCATAATACTTTGAGATGTCCGTATTACGGTTCAAAAGGCAATGTCATTGATGGCATCAGAAACCTAACACCCCTTCGATCTCCCTCAAAAATTAAAACACGGTTTGTAATAATTGGTTATGTTAACTATATTTAGGTGTACTGCATAAGGGATTTGTGAAATAAATCACACATTTGAAGCCAGTGTTTGCAGGTGGGAATAAGGTGAAGAAATGCCTTTGGCATTTTATCTTTTGAAGGCAAAAATCATTTTAAGGAACAACTAATTAGGCCGAATTGTTAAAAAGGAGGTAAATTTAAATTTGATTTGATATAAACTTCCTTATAAATTCAAAACCTTGACTTTCTAACTTGTTTAATTAAGGATTTTCGTTTTTTCTGAAAAAATTGATCAAAGTTTCACTTTAAACAGCAAAACTTTTCCACACACTATTCTGCTGATTTCCATAATCACACCATTTATAGCAAATGCATGTATAAAAAACAATCTTACGCGTCAAAATTTTGCCATGAGCTTAGAGATGCAAAACAAGATTAAAGGAAAAAAAAAAAAGGTAACCATGCACCATGACAAGAGGCGGCTCGAAGTTATTCACTGCGTGCAGTTACAAATGACATGTGCTGGACCCCACATACACAGTCTACTAGGCGCTCTCTCCAAATGGTGAATTGAGATGTTACATCTTTTTTTTTTTTTTTTGGCTAAATAGCATAAGCACTCCAAGAATTGATATTTGCGTTCCACTTTCTCTTTTCCTACCATTTTTTTTCTCCTCCTTGTCTCGACACAGAGGGGCTGCTATTTCTAGTGGGTGCCATTATGAAAAGAAATTATTGGAATCCGATTTGGAAATGCCCAATCAACCTTTCAACCTGTTTTAGGAAGTCATTCTATTTGGGTGTTAGTGTCACCGTAGTTCTAGCAGCACAAAACGGTGACTTAGTTGTTGACAATTAAACCATGTGAATTTGAGTACTAATTGGATCATAAAAGTTGTAAGAAATGTGCTCCTTCTGCATATTCTGTATCTACCGGTGTGCGTGTATGTGTTTTTTTTTCGTTTTCTAAGTTGTGATTTATTTTATTATATCTATGGACGAAATTTATTAATTAATAGAAGTGACGTTATGAAACATAGAAACTAAGCTGTATTCTGAAAGATATTTTACCTGTAAATCCACTTCTATTACTGTAGCAATTAATTAAACAAGACGCTTCTCCCTTTCTTTCTACATTCCAGTACCTTGATGAGATGCAATTGAAATTTGTCTGTTCTTCGTGTAAAGGGTATCTTTGTCTCTAAGTCATGTTCTTAATTTCTGGGATCAAGCATTAACATTGATTCTGTTAGTCTATCATTTTCTTAAGCCACTGAATTCTTGGTGTCTTATGCTGATTTTGGTGTGCTGGTCCGGCTTCTCTTGGCCCTTGGCTGTCAAAACCAAGCAAGCTGCTTTGAAATTCAAATTGCCTCTAGCTCATGCAATTTTGTGCACAAAAAACATAATAGCATATGCCAGGGAATTATGTCCTTCCTCAAAAACAACCGTAGTGGCGCTCTTGAGTCTTGACTCTTGTGTCGTGGCGATGTCGACCTATTTTCATATAAAAACTTCCTAACGCTCAGAAATCAAATCGTGATAGTTTCCGATTTTTTATTTTTATTTTTATTTTTTAAAAAACATTTTCTCAAGTATTGGCTCCTTATACTCCCTTCATCGAAAATTCAGTTACCAAAAAATGAATATGGTATTTTAAAAAAATCTTAGGCAAAACCTCTTATTTTAGTGTGCAATGGTACTTCATATATGCGGCTGTCTAATTTCATCCCATCAGTAACAATTCTTAGATCTTTTGGGATGTGGATTCCATCACATCACTGGGATTCATAGAAAAATCTATAGGAAAGCCAACAATGGGATAAAATTTAATAAAATGGAATAGTGCATGGGGTAATTGAATAAATTTTTAACTTAATAGTGAAGTTGAAAAATCAACAAATATACAGAGGTCAAATGAGGAGTTTTTCTTAAATTTAATTACATGTAAATCTTTAATGATGCCTGCTGATATTATATTATTGTGGAGTTTTTTTGTTTATAAGAACAAAATGCCTTAATTAATGGATCACGCAAACCAATGACCGTTAGTGCCGGGAGGAACTACAATATTGTACCTGGGATGGCCAACAAAGAAAAGCAGATTATTAATGTAGATGGAATAAAATAACGTGTATATATATATATATAAAACTAAACATATTTTGTTTGAAAAAGTCCTTAGATATAAAGATAAAATGAAAAAAATTTAAAGGTTAAAAAATAATATGAAATCTTTAAAATTATTTGTTTGAAAAGAGACCACGTGTGAGAATTTTTTTTTTTTTGAACTTACTAGTTTAAATACGATTGTAATCTGTAAGATTCAATAAAAGAGAGTAGTTTATTTTAACATAAAAAAATTGATTCTAAATGTATGACTGTAAAAAAAAAAAAAAAAAACACATGGTATGTAATCCCGCCTTGATGGTCATCGATTCCAGATGCGACGAAAGGATGGACCACTACAGGTTATGAGTTGTCGCGTATAGTATGAGTTTTGATGGATGACTGGCGGTAGCTCGAATCAACTTAATTATTTAGATTTGGGTTCGCAAAAAGGAATAAGAATGCCATCCCGTCAGTGATTTTTGCCAATTAATTCTATTCAATCATCGAGCTTTTGATTAAGAGTTTTTCCATATTTGTCCTGACATTCCAATTGGTGAGCATCAATTAGTTGGAAAGTTTACCAATCACACAATAATACGAAAAAAATAATAATCTATATTTATAAGAAAACTTGAGTTTCTTATCATAATAATAATAATAAATATTTTTTATTAAATTTTTTATAACCATCTTGCTCATATAATTATTTTGTATTTTACGTTTAAAACATTTAATTGAGTCTCTTGAGTTGTAAATTCTAAGTTAGCGTAGAATATTTCTTTAATTAACTAGTTATCGGCTACAACTTATGTGCAGTCACAACAATGTTATAATACACATAGCTAGTCGCTCTTTTAAGTTCTAACCCATGCATGCATCTAGTGGATGTTTAATTTGGCAAAACAGTTACTATTACTTTTTTTTTATATATAAAAAAAAACAATAAATATAAAAAAAGAAACAGTTATCTATTTTCAAGTCGTGATATTGACATGAAGTTTTTGGTTATATTCCAGTTATCCAGTATATCCTTCTGCTTACAAATTACAATTTTTGAGTGGTTACAAAAAGCAGAGATAATTAGATAGCCCAAAATAAAGTTCAAAGAATTTCATAAAAACAAGCGATGAATTGATGAGACAAGTAAAATTTGTTTTCAGCAACCAAATTAACTGAGAGAATTGATACTAAAAAAAGTAGAGGAAACAATGGATTGATAGAATTGATGTTCCAAGCAAAGACACATGATCAAAACAAGCCAAGGAAAACAGCATATATCCACTCCAGTAATGTTGATTGAAGGGACTTTGCAATCATCAAAATGACAAAAGCTTGCTTAACGAACATATAGAACACATGGAGTCATGCATCAAGCTATATGTATATGATAACGGGAACCATTGAACATCAATCCAAATAATTGAAACATCAATCCATTCTATATATATACACATAGAACAGAACATGATTCGTCCAGTACTCTTGTCATTCACTATTTTCTTGAGCTTGCAACGTAGGGGTTTGGGGAGAGTTTGATCTTTCCTAGCAATTACAAAAGACCTTCTTGTCTCGCTGTCTCTACTGTTTTTGATTTTTTTTTTTTTTTTTGTGCTTTCAGTATTACAATAGCTTTGAATGCCAATTTCCAAGAACGATTGATAGTTTTCAAATTACCTACTCACATGGAATGTAATATGTACAGAGCTAATTAATTATACAAAGAGTTCTGTCATAAAAAATAAAGGGCAAAGAAGAGTTTCGTTGACTCATGTATATGCTACAACGTTTATTAGGGAACCAAAGCTGGATAGTTGCACTTTTAAAAAGTGTGTCAAGCTTTTGGTACTTGTATAGAGGAAGCAAATCAATGAACAATAACATCTCAATCAAACAATTCAGCTAGCTACTCAAACTATTATGTTACAATATTGTGCTGTTGGAAATTAAATAGTCAATCATAATTTACAAATTAAATCCCACATCGGCAGTGACATAGGGCGGCTTTTGACACAATAATACTACTGAAGATTTCAAAACTTTCATCCAACTACTTAACTAAACTAAAAATTTGGATAAAATTGTATAATCACCGTGCATGGCTCAACTTTTTTTGGTTCAATGACATTAATCGTACGCATGTTAGAATAACTTAATGTTTTTTATTAATTGTTCCATGGGTATATGTTAAATACAAATAATGATATTTAATGTCATTTTGAAGTTTTATACTACTAAGGTCTTGTTTGATAATCAAGAATAAAATGATAGAAATGAAACAAGAAGTTTTATTCTCATATTATAGTTGTTTGGTTAGAAAGAATAGAGTAAGAATGAGAATGAGGAGTGAGAATGAGAATGAAAATTTACACATAACTTCATTCCCACATAAGATGTGAGAATAAAAATA